AATACTAAGTGATGATGATGATGATGATGATACTAAGTATAACATCAATAAGCCCGCAGGGTAACTAGTATTAAGCTGTTGCTGAGTGCTGTCACCCCGCCCGATACCCGAGATCTACAGGAGGAAACTGTACACCGTATCTAGCTTACCTTCGTTGGCCGTTCAGAGTGTAACGTAAGAGCTAAGTACTTGAAAGCAAAAAATCCACTTAATAATATGAAAAACCGCTTAGCCCTCTCGCGATGGTGAAACCGGTTCAAACGTCTCAACCCCTTAGTCAACTACTAAAATGTATCACTCGAGGCACTGAGCCGTTACGTGGGGGACCACCAAACTCTAGCAGAACGCAAGCCACCGGCTGTCTAAGTTCAATATTGTCACAGTTGAGAAAAGAAGACAGGCTTCAGCTAGTTTCATCCAATAGCCTTGTTTTGCAGTCCAACCAAACATCATTCCATAGTTCCAATTAGGATCTATATATTCCATGGTTCCTACGCATTATACTTTGGTCATCTTTGGGGTCAATTTCCTATAGTTACACAGAAATAGATCCCGGCTTATGCTTCTCATCATCGTCTCATCAGGCAAAAAGTCTAACAATTGTAATAAACATATAATATTATCTTGTTTGAGACCTAATAGATCAATATCCTTGTGGATAAAAAAAGCTCAAGTTGATTAAAAAACATTTTAAAATTCTTCTACCAAATAATATTTAAAACGAACTTCTTTAAACTATATGATTAGCATTTAGTTTTCCCAACGATGGTGAATTCGAATCGATGACGCAACCTTGTTCGTATCGTAGGCGACATCGAGGTAACTTTGTAATATGTCATATAAGGAAATACCTCTGATACCATCTTAATAATTACGTGAGATCGTTCAAACGAATTACTTACAAACGAAAACGATAATCTACTCAAATTGCAATGAATAGGTGTTTTACGACTGTAACTAGAATTTGTACACGAAAATATGAAACTGGTGGCGGTATAATGGTAGCGGCGGGCGAGGTATTTTATTAAAGAAAATGTAAGTCTATAGATAATTGTCTATAGATACTTGTTTTTAATCAAATAAGCTATACAAATGTATGGATGTTTGTTACTCTTTCACGCAAAAACTACTGAATGGATTTTGATGAAACTTTACAATAATATAGCTTATACATCAAAATAACACATAAACTACTTTTTATCCCGAAAAAATTTACGAATCCCGTGGGATAGTTTTGTTTTTGTTTCGAGCGAAGCGAGGGTGAGCCCCTAGTCAACAATAATCTAGTAGCTAAATGTTTTCAGGAAGTGACGATGGAATATATTGTAAGAATTAATATAGAACGACGTCACGATTTGTAACCAATCCAATGGACTTCTGCCAAAAAAGGATGCGGAAAGTCATAGTTATATAGGTCAAGACTGCGGTAAAAGTCACATGAAAAATCCTTTACACTACGTATAATAAAATTTGATCACTCACAGCTGTAGTCAGATTCGTACACATTACATTTTTACTTAATAATTAAACTCTTTAAATATTGTTGGAACATCTGTCAGTCGTCTCACTACAATGGAATACACAATCTGATACTATAATCAATATTATAATTAATGTAAAAGTGTGTTTGTTTGTTTGTTTGTCCTACTTTCACATCCAAACAGAGTGACGGATTTGCGTGATTTTTTGTGTGGAGATAGTTGGACGACTGGAGAGTGACATAGGCTACTTTTTACCACGGGGAAATCATCTCATTCCCACGGGAAAACACGTTATAATACAACGTACATATATTTATATTATTTTTTTTTAACCTTCATATATTAGGCAGGCAATAAATATACTGTGTACTAGGTACTAACAAATCGTGGTATAATTTAAGTGGTAGTGTAGTGGTAGCAATAGACGTTATTTTAAACGTTTAACTTTAGTCAGACAGACAAAATAGCTTAGCGGTTCCAGCTCGGTTGGACTACGTACAGTCGTATAAAGACTTCAAAGGCATTGTTCGAGCGGCATCGTCTCTTCTATTGTAAGCCACAATAGACAAATGGCGTCAACCCTGGTTAAAGCTAATACTTAATATGTAGATTTGCTTTCGAGGTTTTTTTGGAACATTTAATGTAAACTAACAATTGTTAAATTAAAATGTGACGGGATTTCCAGTCGCTCTCTCGTTGGGTTAAAACTCTAAAACTCAAAAGCTCTGCCGATGGGACAATAATTCCGTTATCAACTACGATAATTCAACCTTTATATTTTCGTGTTAATTTGGCGCAAAAATATATTCGAATTATTTTTAAAGTTATACCTCTTTTGGCACGTTTGGAAAAAAGTATGAGAGTAAAATTTTTACGATGCGCGCGCACACCGACAGCCAAAAAGCGACATAACAAAGTTAGCTGCATTCCTTTTACAGAGTTGTGACATACGGGATGAAATTTTTAGGTATTTTTGTTGTATTAGGCAAAAGAAGTAAAACTACTTACGTGCGTACATAAGTACACACACACGATTTTTTTTACGATAACGATGTAACGAATATTAAGTATAAAACTCAAAAGTACTCCTATTATATAATGAAAATTACGTATTCAAATGTACGTGGTAAAACAAAAAATCACAAACATAAGTTATGCCTTTCGAGATAACAATTTCTCCCAAATATTATTATAAAATTTAATGTTGCATATCGACGAATCCTGTCCCCGATGCGACCTTGATGCTGCACTTCATAACGTTGCGCATCGCGACCTCTATTGACAGCTTCCTGCCCTCGTATAAAATGAAAACGTGGATAAAGGAAATATTTCCATTTCAGTGGGTTCGATGTAAAGAAATAAATCAAATTAAACGTATCAAATATCGGGTATTATAGGTAATACTCTGTATATTTTATACTTTACAAGACATATTGTAGATGCATTAGTTCATTTACTATATTATTATCATCATTCATAAAATAAAACATACAAATTGACAAAACATATACAATTTTTTAATTTAAAACGTTGATTGTTATTTTTGGCGATACTTCGGTATCGACCTGTGTCCAATCCATTATAGATTGGGCTATGTCATTAAATGAGAAACGTCGCGACGCACGCGCAGCCCTAGCCTTATATGGGCGGTCAATACAAGGCCGTGCTCCGTCCTCGTCGTGACAATTAAATTCAATATTAAAATATATAAAAACAAACTTGTTTTAATTGCTACTACACCTACCTACCTAAGCTATAGTAGCTTACAACTACTAACTATATTTTACATCTGAAAGTGAAACTGAATGTAAGTTAATGTTTACTAGAATAATAAATCTATACATATAATAAAATTGTAACAAAGCCTAATCTGTACATTAAATATTTTTTGGAAAATCTTACTGAAATAAACAATATTATCGATACAAAGGCCGAATCTATAGTTTGTAGAATTTTTGTCCGTCTGTCTGTTACCGCATCACATAAAAACCACTGGAGGGATTTGGATGAGATTTGGTATGATGACAGCTGTTTATCCGGGTCAATATATAGGATACTATTACCGCGGGAAAAATATCTCATTTCTGAGAAAAAAAACAAAAACTGCAATGTAAGTGTATACTAAGATGTAAAACCTAAGGATTTGGTTTTTGGTCATCTGAACACGGGCGGAGCTGCGGGCAATGCTAGTTTTATTTTATAAAATTGAATATTACTTTTCTTATGTGATTTGTTTACATATATGGTTTGCATTATCTAAATTGATGTTTGAAATTTTATATTTGTATTTTTAGTGAAGTGATCGAAAAAATGTAACCTCTACTCAAAGAATCTGACATCTATTCATATTTTTAGATGTTCAATAATATTACTGTTTGAAACTTTGATACGGTATATTTATTTTAATAAGGTTAATTTATTATGAAATTAAACAATATTTTTTGTACCATTCATAAAAAGAAACAAATTTATAACAAGATTATACTTATTTGATTTTGGCTAAGGCATTATGCATATTATTTGCACAAGAAGAAACTGTTTTTGCCACCCCCAAATGTCAGAATGAGCGAGTCATTAAACAATTACAATAATATGGCACTTTATAATATGTACTTATTAAAAAGCATAATATAGTAAGAAAGTATATAAAAGTACCTAGATAATATAGCACATAGTTAAAAAATCCTGCTTGGCTCACCATAAGAACTATTTATCTAATAATTGTTAATAATAATTTTAGAAATAGCATTTATTACAAATTATTGTGGTTAGCATATTACAAATAATAAAGTTCTCCAATATATATTAATTGTACTGATTAGTGATCTTATATTTTTTATAAGCTTTTAATGGTATGATTGCAGACAAATATTTAAAAATATATTTTTTAATTATTTATCATTTGCTCTTCAAGCGAGCTGGACAGAAAGTGTTATTGATTATTTTTGTGAGGAAAAATATAGAGTAAGGTAGTTATTTGTAAAATTATAATAATAATATAAATGTAGAATTAATATATCAATATATCCTTTAGTCTGCTTTATCTGACAGTAATGATAGCTGAGAGAACTTTTAGATATGAATGTTAGGAACATAAGGTTATCAAAAACCTAGCAAAACAATAAGCAAAAAAATAACAATTTTAAATAAAAGTAAGTTATAATGTAATCTTATATTTTACTTAGCCAAAATCAAATAAAAACTATCAAATACATATGAAACATCTCTAAAATATTAATTAAAAATGAAGATGATCATTCTATAAGCTTTATTTCACAATTTAGATTTTTAAAAAATGAAAAAATTACAGCATAAATGGAACACGTAAACAGAATTTTATAATGTTTGCTATGCAGCAGTTTATTTTGTATAAGGAATTCTGATTCATACCTTCACTAGCCATGTGAATCACATGAAAAAATTATTCACTGAAGAGTATCTTATCTTACTATGTATATACTGCGCTTTATAAAAGTTAATAACTTCAAATAATAGAATATAAATCATGATTGAACTCACCATCTGTTCTTTTTATATTGATGTTGATCCCGGATTGGATTTTTACAGAACCGTCATCCATTTTTGCACTGGTTTATGCACCACATACACTAAATAACATTATTTCGCAAGAAACAATAGTTTAAAAATACTCTAACACATTCGGAAATTGCACATGAGAACCGGTGAAAATTACAAATAAATTTCTACACCCAGATTGACAGTTATATCGAGCTAGCTACACACTTCAGACTGGAACGTTTCAAATTTGTTTCGGTGTAACAGTCAAATCAATCACTTTTAATTCTTATTATAAACAAATAAAATACATTTATAATTGTTAAAGCTCATTTATCCGTTACGAAAAAAAGACACGAATATTTAAATTATTTCGGTTATACTACGAAATACCGAAAATATCAGTCAGAGCTCAATGCATTGCATCTTTAAAACGATTGTGGTATTGCCACATTGTACCAAACCTTCTCTCTCTCTTTAGGTAACTTTATTTTTTTTACTTTGGAACAAATTTTTTTAGTACTTATAAAAATATTAAAATATTCACATGGAAATAGTTAGAATTATCACAAATAAAAATAAATTACGTTATTATATTAAATTAATATATTATGAAATCTAAAATCGTTATTAGTGTAGCCAAACCATAGACATTTTTAACGATGGAATACTTGTACAAAATTTTGACACTGTAAAATAAATAAAAAATAAAAAGATATGTAACGCGGGGTTTTTACATTTGATTGTGTAAAACAAATTTTTAAAGGAAATATTATTTATTTATTTTTATTTTTTTTTATAAGTATTGTAGCGTTTCAGTTTTTACAAATGTTCTATCAGCATATCCAATCTCTGATAATTATAAAGTATGTCATTGCCTCATTGACAGACAGAGTAATCAACCAAAAATCAGCTAAAAGATTAGGTCAATAAATTTTATATTTTTCTAACGAAAGAAAATGGATTCTGAATATAAACTATCGCACAAAGCCAAAAAACGTATAAAGGAAGTTAAAAGAAAAGCCCGACCAGGTATAACTTCGTAATAAACGAACACGTAATACATCCGTTAATTAACGTTTTTTCGTGAATATATTGGAAATAAGTATGTAATTTTAAGAAAAAGCACAAATATTTTTACAGATTATTATTTGTTAAGCTATAAAAAGTAATTCAGCAAAAATATTTCTATACTTGCAATGTTCTAGAAGAATCTCAGGCGTCATGCGTTTTGCTTAGCTTTTCATTGACCTCGAATCTTACATATAGTATGTAATTAATAAACGGTTAAGTAAATAATTAACTGTAGTTATAAAAAACGTTATGAATACTTCAATTCCTTTTTTCATTATATCATTTCAGAGTTGGCTGATAAATACCAATGGATAGCTTTAAAGTATGCTAGTAATTTTGAAGAATTTATAAAATGTAAAGACAATGTTGATAGAATAGATGAGCATGAAGTAAGTCCAGAAGAGTTTATAGAGAAATATGAAAAAATCTACAAGCCTGTGGTAATAACAAATACACAGGTTAACTGGAGAGCTAACCATAAATGGACTCAAGAAAGATTAGCCAAAAAATATCGTAACCAAAAATTTAAGTGTGGTGAAGATAATGAAGGGTATAGTGTTAAGATGAAAATGAAGTATTATGTAGAATATATGCGGACAACGACTGATGATAGTCCACTTTATATTTTTGATAGTAGTTTTGGTGAGCATCCAAGAAGAAAGAAGCTCTTGGATGATTATGAAGTACCTACATACTTTAGGGACGACTTGTTTAAATATTGTGGAGAGGAAAGAAGACCACCTTATAGGTGGTTTGTGATGGGACCACAACGGTCTGGTACTGGAATACATATAGATCCATTAGGCACAAGTGCTTGGAATGCTTTAGTGTTTGGACATAAAAGATGGTGCTTATTCCCCACACAGACACCAAGAGAACTGATCAAAGTGACTGGTGCAATGGGTGGGAAACAAAGAGATGAAGCTATAACATGGTTTAAGCTAATTTATCCTAAAACTCAAATGGAGTCTTGGCCTGAAGAGTATAAGCCTGTAAGTAGCCTGTAGGTTTTTTTTTTATAATTAAAAAAAAATATATGTAGTTAATGTTCAGGGAACTTATAATAAAATAGAAAAATAGAAGATAATGTGGAGTATAATCATAGTATGATTTATAGTGAGACAATTACATTGTAGTGATTTTGCCCTTTTTACATACTCTAAACTTAGTGATAGCATATCCATTTTTTTTGTTTTAAAATTAATATAATTAAATGATTTTAGGTTGAAATACTTCAAAAACCTGGTGAAACAGTATTTGTTCCTGGAGGTTGGTGGCATGTTGTTCTAAACCTTGACGACACAGTTGCAGTGACACAAAATTTCTGTAGTCGCACTAACTTCCCCGTTGTTTGGCATAAGACAGTGCGAGGTCGCCCTAAACTATCCAAGAAGTGGGTTAAAGTTTTAGAATCCAAAGAGCCAGATCTATACAAAGTGGCAAGTAGCATGGACTTGAGTCAAGGCACTGGAGTGGCATCAGACAGTTCGTCTAATAGCAGTTCATCTAGCAGTGACAGTGATAGTAGCTCTTCAGGAAGTTCCAGTGAAGAAGATAGTGGACAAGAAAGCATCACTGCACACAAAAAAAAGAGAAAACGGAAAGCTTAAATTAGATAATTCTTAACTATATGAAACAGATAAGTGTTTTATTGCAGTTTGTATTTTAAATAAGAAATTTTGTATTATTAGACATATTTCATTTATTTTGTTGTTTGAACAGTATCTTTTGTTAAAGGACCAACCTGACTATCAATAAATAAAGTTTAATATAATCTAACTACATTTCTTTTTTTAAACAAGTGGCAATAATTTCCTGTGTAAGAAGCTTTTAACTATAAGCAGTGAAGGAGAGTTGCAGAACTAACTCCCAACAATAACAGATTTTTAGTTGCAGTCTATGAATAATATTTATGATGTGAATAATTTACTTATAAAAGTCAGTAGTAACTTTTTCGTTAGTTTCTATAACATTAATGGATTGGAATATTTCCAAATAAAAATAATTAGTGTATCATTATATTTAACTTCAGTTTAATTTAATGATAGTTAAAATAAAATAAGTTATTTCTCTGTAATAATCATAATGTAATATTCTACATAATTTAAATTAAAAGGTAAAAGTTTAAGAAATTTAATTTAAAACAAATCAAATTTTATTAATTGTGATAATATACTAATAAAACGTGTTTAAACATACAATATTTAATATTTATTATTTTTATTGAAATATGAATTTAAATATTTTGCTTCTTAATGCAGTAGCGCCCTCTATAAAGAAAGTGGAACATACAAACTTGACATGCGCATCACTATTGATGTGAATGGGTAAGAACTAAGAAAAAAATATTAGTCTATGGTTTTCAGCGGCCATTTGTTATCCTTGCCGAAGTCTCGTATAAAGTAGTGTATCAAAATGTTGCGATCTGCGTCAGGTTCTTTGGTAAATGTTCTCAAAAAAGCCGTAGTCCCTACTTCCAGGGTCACCGTCGTTGCTGTGAGGAGGTCTCACGGAGGACCCGTCGAATCCGATGAAGATTTCGATAACAGGTTAGACCTAACGTTTTGACGTTATGTAACTGAAAATATTATCAATCTCGTACAAATACTGATGATTTCGTTTAATGTTATTTGTTTAAATACTCATATTATCGGCTTAGTTACAATTTCTAATATTATAACTCCAGTTATTCACTTTTATATAAGGCACAAACCATCACCATTTCACAAGATGACTTATTTTGACTGTAAAAGTAACCAAAATAAAATTAATTTGTTGTTTCTTTTGAAAGAATTTATGATTTTTTTTATTTAATTTTCTGCTAGTATATATATTATTATATTAATTATATGTAAATAGATTAGCTATAAAATACTATTGTCAAAATGTAATTTTAGTGTTGTCTTATTGGGATTTTTTATAGCTGTAATTTTTAAGTATGCAATATAAAAATTTAATATTATTTCTGTATTACACTAAAACTATGATTAATATGATATAAATATTGTTTTGATGTAATTTCAGATATGAAGCATTCTTCAACAGGAAGGATATTGACGGTTGGGAAGTTCGTAAAGGAATGAATGATCTCTGTGGTATGGACTTAATCCCCGACCCTAAGATCATTAAAGCTGCCATGCACGCCTGCAGAAGGGTCAATGACTATTCTCTTGCTGTCAGGTTCCTAGAAGCTTGCAAGGAGAAGTGTGGCCCCAAAGTTGGGGAAATCTACCCTTACATCATCCAAGAAATTAAACCGACTCTTGTAGAATTAGGCATTGAAACTCCAGAGGAACTCGGCTACGATAAACCTGAGCTAGCTTTACAAAATGTCTTTGACATGTAAAGTGTGATACTAAGCTGTAGAGAAATTTAAATAATAGTAATGTTAATGATTTTATTTTAATTGAATGCTGTTCAGTTTGAATATTCCATTAGTTCCATCTGGTGGTCAAATACTTGACTAATGTATAAAACTTTACAAGAAAGCTAAATTGTTGTTTCATTCAATATGTAGGAACTATTTATAATAAAAAGTATTAAATACATTTTCATGTTTATTTTACTTTATTGAATTTGCATTGGTACAATGGAGCAGTATAACATACTCATAATGCTAGTTGCTGCTTCTTTAAAATATACGCTTTCCTTCAATGTACTTAAACACCATCTATAGGTTAATTGATAGCAAAGAAATATGTGCCCAACAATAATGATGACTTCAATACTGTATGGACTATTTGTAAGCCAAATTTCATTTAAATCAATGGATACATAGATTTACCCTTCTGTGCTGTGATTTCATTGAAAATCGAGTGACTTCAGATTCACTTAATATAAACATCTGGATACGACTGGATTTCAATTAATTAGGCTGTTTACATACATTATAATCCATGGATTATTTTGAATGTTTAAAACATTATTTTGCGTTGGCGTGGAAACGAATCTACAACGCGTCTGTAATGCGCCGATTTAATGAAAATAAATAAATCCTTAAATCATGCAACTCTTTCAAGCAATAACATTTATTGATCAGGCACAGATAAGATAACAATGTTATTTTTAAAATATTGAAAAAAATAAAATACATTTTAATCGCTAATATTGAGTACAAAAATTAATCTAAAATGGCCTACTAGATATTGATAAAATTAGTCTGTGTTACTCCAAGATATAGACTTATTTACACTTTACAGTCCACTAATCCATATACTCGTCTAATGAAGTCGGCCAATCCTGCAGGTAGAGACGCGCGAAGGCGCACTCTCTTCTATACCACAGATCATATAATACTAGCACTATACAGATACTTAGTTTTATGACAGTTGGGAAACTGCTTTAAAATTGGCGCCGCCAACTTTGCGGGTATGAAAACTAGCGATTTTTTCAGGTGAGACACGTAAAATATTTTTAATCATCATAATAGAATGGATATTTTGGAAATAGAACCAAGAACCTACGTAGAGTTCTCTTCTTTCTTGTTTTCATAATTCTGACTCTGGATTTTATAATTGAGACTCGAACTCAGGACCTCATGGTGTGCGGCCGTACAAATCATGTCAGATTATACTTTAATCAAATAGACTTTTACAAGCACTTTTGAATCGTCAATTTTACATTTTAAATTTAAATAAAGTCAGTGTGGTCAGTCCGTGAGGAATCTAACACCGGTACATGTTAACCACTAAATCACCAGGCAATAATACAAATTACCAACACATAAGCGTATAATAAAACGAGCATTGTACGTAAATACTTTATTTCGAATGATTGCAATATTCACACAGTCGTACATTATTTACAACCACAAATCATTGTACTTAACAACAAAATTGTGCTTCATTTCTAAACATAATACAACTCCTCGCTTCCAAATAAATAAACCGTAAATTAAATAAAATATGCAAACGAGAAAACAATAAGTTACATTAAGACTATACGTCGCTTGTCTTTTGAACAAATTTACACTTTAAAATATTTCGCTTTGTACTTTTCTATGACTTCTATCTTAATCTAGTTCCGACTATAATTTTAAATTAACATTAAATTAGGTTCAACTGTTCGGGACCTAATTATAGATTTATTAGTTATTACATACAAATGCTGACACTCGAGATCTAAGTTTCCGTCCTTAGACTAGAGTGTCGTTGATAATTGATATTACTAGGTACTTCTGCCGTCATAGACATATCTAGATAGCGGAGGATTCCACACATAGCCTTAAATCGGCCGTTGGTTTAACGTGAAACGTCTAATAATACTTTCTTGCCATGACCATGATTGCTGTAAAGCATTCGAAACGTCGGGAACCAAAAATGAAAATAAATTCGCGAAAAAAACCGATAAGATAGTTTTATTTAGAATGTGAAACGTCTATTTCAGCTAATAGCGTTTAGTGTTCAAGATTGGAATGAAAACAAAATTGACTTCGTTCTAATTGTTTTAATACTGTGTATGTTTGTATTCAGCCCTATTTAACGTCCCACTGCTGGGCACGGGCCTCCCTTCAATACGAGGGGAATCAGGCCATAGTCCACCACGCTGGCCAAGTGTGGATTGGCGGACTTTTAATACTATACTGACACTGAATAGGCATTGAACATAAAGTTCTTTCTATTAATATTTGAAAACAAATTAGTAAAAACACTAATCTCTGAAGATAGCAACGGAAAGAATATCATATATTAGATAATTTTTCAGACAGTAACAACGGTTGCTATGGCAACCTAAGGCAACTTATTTCGCTACGGTCCACTTTTCCGTCTGTTTCGACGTGATTTTAAACACGTTTCACGTCAAAAACAATTCACGATCTAGCTATGTCTATGATCAGTATAAAAACATAGGTTAATTCGTCTGATGCGGCCGCCATAGTACATTTAAATAGATTAATAAGTTAAATTTTCCTATGTACGTAATACGTATTATACAAATTTAATTATTATAAAAGTTTTTGTATATCTTTAGTAAGACTAGATTGTTTCCTAAGGACTCGTGTAGACTAGAATGACACGTTACAACAAACAATGTGAAATAAATTAATTAAACAACAACGCACTTAAGAAGTACACTTAAATAAATTACAAATTAGAGGGAATGTTTCATACGCAATAAATAAATATAACGTAAAGAAAAAAAATTACTAATCACCACCAAGCAAGCATCAATGAAAAATAAACTCAAATGGCGTAAATAAAAATAATAATATAATATATTGCACAAAGTTGCGTTATTTACGAACTAAAAATAAATATAAAGAACATGTCTGAAACTGAAATAAGTTTAAATAATTTAATTTAGTCCCATTAAATGGAGTTTTAGCCCGCGGCTGTGGTCGAGCACCGAAACCGTCAAAAAAACCATTAATCTACATCAATGGTGATCGAGAATGATCTATGGATCAGATCGACCACATTCGCAAATCAAAAATAAAATTACGCTACTTATCGGTAAAAACCATAGGCATAGAGAGTGGACCGAATGTTTCTTTGCCAGCCGTCAGCTAAAAGTAGCGGACAAGTGCGACAGAGACAAAACGAATGTGCGGCCAGAAGTCTCGTTATTCATTGAAATACTATTAATGAAGATAGATATTTATAACCATTTTACATTCCTCTATAATAATTTAATTTTTTTTACATTCCATATACATATACATTTAAATTGGAATAAAAGACAGGTTATTGGCCGCACGTTCGCTTTCTCTCTTTCTAGAGAGTGGTCAATTTCATGAGAGTATTTCACAGTCCATACTCCACATCTACGGTATAGTGACACGGTCACACTACAACGAACGTGCAAAGTCAGTAACACTATTTAGTATGACTTAGAAAACAGATTTCGATTTAAAAAAAAAACTGTTAAATAAAATAGCATTACTGGCTTCGTTTCAGAATCTCACTCATCAATTGTTTCTATTCACCCTACACCACCCTTCAATTTTACTATTTGCCTTTATACGGAGGCTGTATTAAAATGGCACCTTTGAAGACTTTGTTTCATTATCAGTTTTGCAAAAAGTTAAGTCGTGTTCACATTAAAACAACTTCGATGTAAACAACCTTAATGTGAACAAGCCCTTAGAACTTAAGCATTTACTTGTGTACATTAACAAATTATTCGTTAGTACAAATTGTATTTTTTAGCTATTTCATATTTCCTTCGCTTATGGCACTGTGATATACATACATATATATTCAGTCAGTCAGTTTGGTGGTACGATATGGAGTCTGTTTACATAAAAGCAGCCGTACACGGTTTCGGCTTCTTTATATTTTATTAAGGCTCAACACATTATACACACTGACACTCAACGTTACTGCTCTTTGAAATCTCTGGTCGTAGTAGTAATATGTACATAGTGACGTCATCGTGATGACGTCATTGCCGCTAGTCGGGGGTTTGGTGTGGGCTGTGTGGGGGCGAGGCCGGGGGGTGCGTGGGGGTGGGGGGTGTCGGGGGTGTGCGGGGGCGCGCGTGCCCGGGGGGTGTCGGGGGCGCCACCAGCGACAGCAGCTAGGAATCCGCTGCGACCGCGTCACGCTCGGACTTCACTTGCTGGAAATATATAAAACGTTTTGCTTAGTAAAACTCAGCCAAACTTTATGTTGAGTTGAGTTGAGTGACGCTTCACGTTTTGTTTAGTAAAACTCTCAAAGAAGATGAAAACAGATTTTACATACAATACACTTTATACCAATAGGTGCTTTTTATGTACTTTATCAATTTATCTCTGTTGCTCAATGAAAATTAATAATATAATCAATTTGCACATAAATAGATATTTATTCTTAAACATTTCTGAACAGACGCCTTTGCTCAGTGCAAATAAAATATATACGAGTCTTACAAATATAATCATCAAGTGTCCGAGTACCTCCCCTGCAGTTGCTTGGAAGACTATAAAATAGTAGACTGTGACTGACCAAAAATCTCGCCAATCCGTCACTCGTTTCGTGGTGAAAGAAAAAAAAACAAACAAACACACTTTCACATTTATAATATTAGTATGGATTTGTGTATCAGTGGCGAAGGGTGAAATTTTTGAGGAGTTAAGCCGTTCCAAAAATATACAATTTTTATATATGTATTAATGCAGAAAGAAATGAAGCTATTATTCTATATATATACATAATTCCAAAAGAACATTTATACATTTAAAAATTAAATGTTTGTAAATTTTTAGCAAAATACATTTACTAAGGTAAGACGTCTTGTATGGACCCTTTGCCACTGGTGCGTATATATGTGTGTGTGTGTGTGTGTATGTATGTATGTATGTTACCATGGCCTTGGTGAGCACGGTGGCATCCTTGAGGCTGAGCACCTGCAGCACCTGCGCGTCGCCGCCCTGCAGCATCACCTGCGCCACGCCGCCGCCCATCGAGATGGTCTCCAGCCCCTCGCCGTTCTGCTCCACCTACACCCACAACATATTACCCATATTACCACTGCAATAATATTACCAATTGAGAATGAAAAAATATTTCAGCAATTTCATGTTTCTATTATTATTGTTAGTGTTCACTTTTATATTGCAATGTTTTCGTATGTAAAAGAATAATTACAATAAAGCATGGTGTGCATGAGATGATCAAGATATCGATATAAAAATTATATGTATTAAATTATGTAATGTATATAATAACTTATTTCAGGTTTAAGAAATATTTAAAACATAATTTCAAATATATATAAATCATCATTTTTGCCTTAACGTCGCAACGAAATACCTGATCAAAGATAATGTAAACTTTCAAAATACATAAAAAAATGTATAGACATAAAAGATAATATTTATGTTCGGTATAAAAAAAATATTAATAAAATTTAAGTACACACAACAAAAAAAAAAAAATCAACCACTACCAAACAGCAAAACAAAAATAAGCAAAATAATATAAAAACAAATGTACACACCTAGCAAGTGCGTGTAAGGCGCGGCGTCACTCAACTCAACATAAACTCAACTCAAATAAAAACTCAAGTACACTGAAGTGTTTATTGCATTCAATAACGAAAACATAGCATCAACTCTTCAAGTGCTTTTGGAATTTTGCGAAAACTTTTAAATAAATTTAAGAAAAACCGAAACTATCATAAAATATTAAAAACGTGTTTAAAAACTAACTGAAATATTAGAATTAGTATACGTAATAATACATATAGATAATAACAATATTAGTTGAATAATAATAATAATAATTTTTAGCAAAACACGTTTTACACAAAAATCCCAAAAGCGCAAACAAACAAAACACAAAAATTAACACAAAATAAAAAAAATTGGTCTACTTAACAAAGACATCAAATGTATACAACGCTTACACTAACAGTTACTTTCCACAACTATACTGACTCAATACTACGTCATACATAAAACATACGAACAGTCGTTTTTATTACTGAAATAAAATATAACACTCATAAAATTATTTTTTATATTATTTTATCACAACAAAAGTTTTGAGTCAGCAAAAAAAAAAAATTTCAAAATCAAGTTGACTATAATATATAATAGGGAATGAAAAATATTTTTTTCCAAAGCATCCCCTTCTTTTACGAACTCAGTCAAAAATAATATAAACCACTATTTGCTGTGTATTTCAATATGAAAAATTTATTTAATTTTAAAAAGTAGTGTCATCCTTCAACAATAAGCGTGAAAATTAAAAAAAACTAAACTAAAAAAACTAACTAAACTAAACTAATATGAATAAATAACGCAACAAACAAATATAAAGAAAGTCATGCATTAGCCTTATTATTATAATATATAGGAACAACAGACAGTTTTTACTTAGCAAAATGTTGTATATATGCATAATATAAGCAAATGAAATATTTGCTTTTAAAATGAAATCTTATATTTTTAATGTTTACTCTTTGTTTCATTATAATTTTTTTTAAATTATTAATATTATATAATAATTATATTATTATATACATAATAAAATAATATAATTATAAAAATTAAAAAAAAAATAGAAAATATATCATTATTATACACTAACAGCGTGAGATCGAATCTTTGTTTGTGTATCTGCTATTTAGTAATACTATTTTGTTACTATATAATCTGTTGACTGTCACTATATAGTTATATTTATCATCTGCATTTACAAAAGTTAAAATACGTGAAATAAACCGAAAAAAATATATTACTAACCATAATAACGACTATTAATTAATGCTGGCAATAAACTTGTATCAATCAAACAATTTCAAATTCAACACAATAAGTAAACAACAAAAAATTGATTTATTGAGCCATTGTTTTTAAAACAAATAATAAACCAATTGCGTAAAATTCAAACAAACCAAATAATAATACTATGAATACAGTTTTATCACACAATAATGTTACTTAAACAATAAATTCTTTAACCGCAAACAACGCAACGATCTAAAATGTACTAGATACACAATCAGCGATAAAAAAATGTCCTCACCGAATCAGCTCTCATTTGAACATTTGAGCGCGTTTTTAATTATTATTATTTTTTTGTAAAAATAACTTTAAGCATTGCATTTAAGGTTGAATTTACATTGTTGTATATTTATTTCAACTATAATTATTACCTAAACACAATTGGTGACAGTTTAAAGAGAACTTTTGCATGGGATTGTCTATCTAGTTCGTTTTTGATCAATGAAGCAACATTAAAACAACTGCCACATTTACATTTACACAAATATTTATGTACATATCACTTTATATTCATTGATTAGATTTTAAAACGAATTTATTACTATTACCTATTCCTATAATGTAAAAGATCAGTGGTTCCCATTTCTTTTGACTACGGAACCCTAATTGATCATAATTTTTTAAACGGAACCCCATTTTGATAATAACTAAACTGATTGTGTTGTACTTAGAATACTTTCTCATTTGACTTGAAACAACAAATCATAAAAGAAAAATATTAATACTTATAGTAATAGCTATTGTACCAAAAATATTAATGCGATGGTATGAAAGCTATTTGCATAAATAATTCGTAGTACTAGCTTAAAGGACTTTAATATTTTACGCCTCCATATAATAATATTTATACAAAAAAACGGAGTAATGTAAGTTACTACGCATGGAAATCGAACTCGAATGCTCTGGCAAAGTAGTTAGTTCCAGACACTGTACCTTTATCGTAACCCTACACATAAAATTAATATTGTTTAAATGTAAATGCGAAAAATTAAAATAATTCAATATGGCAACTATCTCATGCATAAGAACAAGCTTATTTCTTTGGTATACCATTAAATAGCTTATATGGAACTTAAAATAAAATTTTATAATACTAATAAATATATTTTTCTTTTATATGTGCCTTTCTTAAGCGAGTGACATTATTATTTTTTGTACTTATTAATTAAATAAAACAAAATATATTATATTCTAGCTACACTCTACTGATACTTTTATATGTATTAATGTTTTATTATTAATGTAAGTAGCTTTATAATGGAGATCGATGCTAAAAATATATTAGTTTTTAATATCACATTCAACTATTAGGCAGTTTAATTCATATTTGCTTAATCGATTTCTTCGATCGTTTCCTTCACTTCTACACCAGCAAAATCGTACAGACGTCGTTTTATTAAATATATATATATATATATATATATATATATTCCCTTATAATTATTTACCTACTTACATTTACAGTATATGACGTTAATCATTTAGTCTTATCGTTTTTATACCTATTCATATAGTAAATACTGTTATACATGAAATACAAACAAGCGAAATACTGGTCTGAAAAATTTTCAGATTAACAATTTTTATTCAGATTATTCACTCATTCAGAATAAACAACGCCAGATTTTATCTTGCGTAGTGGTTTTAAATGATAAATCGAAATTCATTATACGCATCAACGTATACAAGCAAAAAATAAAAGTAACAACGGCAAAACATAATATATATAAATAATAAAAACTAAAACGCGAATATATTAATGAGTTTTACAACGCCATCTATTAGCAAAGCTTCAAACAAATAATTTTAAAACGATTCGCATATACATGAGTCTGCATCAGGGCTGCCAGATCGTATAATTGGATACGAAAATTGTAAAATGTGGTTATTTTATGTATAATTAATTTTCAATTATAACGTATTTTTATTAAGTTTTTATTCATCACAGACTATTTCTCAACAGATTTGTTAATTTGTATACATAATAAAATTTGATTTGGTATAATTTGAGTGACACAGCGGTATAAAATAAGTTCGCTCTACTGGCAGCCCTGGTCTGCATATGTCTGTGGGCGCATGTGTACAATGTCCGCATGCACGTGCGTGCATGGCAGTGTATGTGTGTGTGTGTGTGTGTGTGTGTGTGTGTGTGTGTGTGTGTGTGTCTAGTCCGCCTCCATCTTGACCTGCACGAGCGGCGCGACGCACACGCCGTCCTGCTGCTGCATGGAGGCCACCATGCTCTGGTACACGGAAGCGGACACGGGCACCGTGATCACGCCCGACACCGACACCGGGTAGCCTGTCATATTAAAATACATTATAATAAAAAAAAAATAAAAATATTTTATTCATTAACAAAATGTTTACAAATTACAAATAAGGATGAGATCGCCTTTTAAGTGTACAAAACACCTGTGACAGACAATCTCGCTCTTCCATAGCCACATCAAAAGTAACTTGTTATAGCAAATTAAGTTTTACAATATTTGTTAGTAAAATAGTGTGTGTGTGTTTGTGTGTGTGTTTGTGTGTGTGTGTGTGTGTATGTGTGTGTGTGTGTGAGTGTATGTATGTGCGTGTGTGTGTGTGTGTTTCATATTCAGGAGATTGATTCCAAAAGCATTTCTGTATCCTCATATTTATTCGACTTAAGCCAATTAGTTAAGACTGATTTACAGTGATGATAACTCAATAGATAGATTTCTATGGTTTTGTTTATTTTATTATATAAGCGTCCTGACAGAATTTTGTACTGACGTGCAGCGAAAGCTGTTTTGATCCTAGGCAGCATAAGAACACCACGATTTCTTCTTTTATCTACTATGTTAGAATCAATAACCAAATTTTTATGTCTTTTTAAAACAACCCATAAAATATATAATTGTCTAACGGATAGAATGTTGCTTTCTGATATAATTCACGAGTAGGATATGTGTATGATTTGAAAGAACATCACTTTGAGTAGTGACCTCTGTGCTCTTTCCACTTCCAGAAATTTAACTTTAGAGGCTCCACCCCACACTGAGATACAGTAACACAACACTGACTGGGCTAATGCGACATATATTTTAGTTAATAGTATTTTCGAAGCTGAATATCTTAAATTCTGAAAATCCATATTATTTTCTGACTATGGAAGTAACTAACTCAATATGTGAGTGCCACGAAAGTCTTTGGTCAACCATAATACCTAGATATTTAGTCGTGGCTACTTTGTTGATTATAGGACAGCTACAGTTTTGATAAGTAGTGCTTTTGCAGGAATGAATTTGAATAGTAAAGTTACATGAAGGTTGTGATCGGATATTTTTTGAAAAGCAAATGTAATTTGTCTTCTCAGTGTTAAGTGAAAGCAGGTTTGCTCTTAGCCAACAGGCAACTTCACGGAGTCCTCTTTCTGCAGCTTCATGAACAGTATCCCACGTAGGCCCATTGAAAACTATAGCGTATCATCAGCATAGGCAAAGATCCTGGCCCCGTTTTATGTTTAAGGTACACAAATCGTTAATATAAATTAGAAACAAAGTCGGGCCCCAAAACACTGCCTTGTGGGACGCCATAAGTTATGTATGAATCTTCGCACTCAACAGTTGTCCTATTTTTACTTTCTGCTTACGATTACATAAATAATCTTTAAGAAGTAAAAGAGGGGTCCCTCTGATGCCAAATTTTCTAACTTTTGTACGAGAATGGGGACAGAGACGGTGTCAAAAGCCTTTTTTAGATCTAAAAAGACAGCAAGACTTTTGTTACCTACATCAAGTTGTTCAAACAATTAATGAAGTTAAAGCTGTAACAGCATCCTCTGTAGATTTTGCTTGCCTAAAGCCAAAACTGAGAATCAGATAAGATGTTTTAAATTTGTTCATAAAATATATTAATCTTTTGTTAATTAGTTTTTCTACTATTTTAGAGATACAGGGCAAAATCGAAATTGGCCTATAATTGTTGACATCGTCTCTGGCACCACTCTTGTAAACAGGAGTGATAATAGCTTGCTTTAGTTAAAAAAGGAAAAATGCCCTTATTGAAACAAAGGTTAACCAAATGAGTTATGATGGGAGTCACTTCATTAGTGGCTAATTTTAAGAAACTAGATGGTATATTATCCCATCCCGGAGCACTATTAGATTTAAGAGACATTATCGTGTCATGAACTTCCATATCATCAGTGTCCAACAAAACAAATGACGTCAATGAGTATAATTGTTCGAGAATTATTTTCCAATGTATTATCCTTATATATTTTTTCTGCTAGGTCTTTACCTACATTAGAGAAAAAATGTGTTTCACATGATTTAATGATTCTACAGGTGATGGTCTTATGTATAATAAAGGAGAATTGTCAGTTTTTATTTTATTTAAATGTGTATAGATTTTTTAACATTATACCAGAGTTTCTTAGAATTTTTTATAGATGCGTCCAGCTGTTGTCTGTCATAGTTTACGTTTAAGCTTTTTTATTAAATTATTACAATAATTCTGTACCTTTTTGTAACTAATTTTTAAAATTTCATTAAATGGATCACTTTTTAATTTTCTTTGCATATTATTTCTATTTCTAATGCAGCGTAGGATCCCAGGAGTAATCCGGTTTGATATGCGTCTGTTTTAGGAATATTTCTTATAGTTGTATTTTCTTGGAGTGATTTGCGTATACTATCAGTTAATCTTTCTATTACTAAGTTTGGATTGTCACAAAGAAGTAGTTCTCGGAGATTTCTCTCAGCTAAAGAAAGAAGCGCTTTATTATAATCTGTTATTAATTTACTTTTTGTACATTTGATTTGATGTATTTTATGCCTAGATAAACATGGTATTGTTATGATCGGTAATAGTTGTATTAAGAACCGCGATTTGCGCAGCAACTTTATCCTTCTCGATCTTAAGCATAAAATGGTCAAGACAACTATTTTCTCTTGTAGGGATAAAGTGTCCAGATAATAAACCATGTGAACACAACATATTAAGGTAATTTATTCTGTTGTTGCGTTCATAAGTACCCTCAGACTGTTTTGAAATTAAGTTTATATTCAAATCTCCTGTTATTACTATATTCTTATGTGCCTTTATACTGCATAGATGTGAGTTAAGAGAATCAATGAAATTCGCAGCATTAATATTAGAGGGTGATCGGTATATACACAAGATAGTCGTATTAAGAGTTTCTACTTGTAAGCAAGATGCGTGGACCAATTTCAATTCCTTAACATTAGCAGTGATGTTATTTTTAACATATATAGCCACACCATCGTTTTGATTTATCTGATGGGTAGTAGCAAAATATTACTAGCATTTTGACTCAGAAATGAGATATTTTCTTGCAGTAAAAAGTATTATATATGTTGACCTGGATAACCAGCTCATCATACCAAATTTCATCAAAATCTTTCCAGTGGTTTTTTCGTGATGCGGCCTCTCTTTCTCGATCGAAAAGAATGACTATATCAATTAGATTTTTCAAAAAATATTTAATGTACAGATTCGATTTAGTTAGAATTTTATTATATGTATAGATGTACTTTATTTGGTTTGTTTGGCGAGCTGTTTTTTAAACCGGGGGTGATTACAATTTACAATCAAAATCTACAATATACAATTTATAAATGCTTACAGTTTAAATAGTTAAATTAATAAATTCTTTTTGAGAATAAAATATGAATAATAAAAATATAGACTTTATGTTTTGTTCTATGACATGATAGCGGTTCTCAATTTTTTCGACTGTGCAACCCTAATTGATCGTAACTTTCTAACGTATCCTCATTTCGACAATAAGTAAACTAATTGTGATATGATTAAAACACTTACTTGTTTGACTTGAAAGAACAAATTCAAAAATATAAAATATTAGCGACTCACACTCTCGCTCCGCTCGGGTTCGTCCCTAGCTTGATTTCCAATACAAAGTGACATCCCCATTTTCAACCCCTTTAGGGATGATTTCCGGGATAAAAAATCCTGTCTTTCCCAAGGTCTTCTTACCAACTATCTTCTTACCAAATTTCATCTAAATCGGTTCAGTGGATCCAGAGATTACCCCCTCCGACCACACAAACTGACAAACTTTACCTCTTTATAATATTAGTATAGATTATTACTTATAATAACATCTGTGGTACCAAAAACATAACTTGACCATTAACACGACGAAAGAATTTTTTTCCCATATTTATAGTCTGACCGTGTCCGTCCTCCCCGGTGAGTATGATCTGTCCGTCGTGGTTGAGCGTGGCCTCGGCCACGGCGTTGAGGTCCACGGCCACGGCGCCGTCGCCGTCCAGCGCCTGCACCACGCCCACGCCGCCGCCCTCGCCGCCGCCGTGGATCTGCATCACGCACTGCGCTCACTCACACACACGGCACACGACCGACTCGCTTCATATCATATATATTGTATCGATCTTAGGTATGTAAAATATCAAAATATTAAACTATGTTAAAACAGATTTTCTTTTTTCAATATGTATTTAATAACTAGCGACTCACCCTAGCTTCGGTCAGACAAACAGACACAAACATATTAAAAATTGTGTTTTTTTATAAGTACCTACTGTATATCATTTCATATGCATTTAGTAAATCGCTGTTATTTTCACATTACAAACAGACACTTCAATTTTATTTATCTGTATAGATGTATAGATTATTTGTTAAGAAATCTATTTTACACAACTTGTGGAACGACCTCAAAAATTATGCAGAAACGGTTACTTTTTATTTTCAATCACTACACATATCTCGTTTATTTTCTTCAGACCTTATAAAATCTTAATAACTACAAAAAATACGACCCAAAGGCGACTTTCTCTCGTTTAGACTAGACTAGACTGCAGTAACCTACGTGTTACTCCAACTCACAATCATCTATGCACTAAATTTTATACTAATCTATCCATCCAGCTGTTTAAGAGTGAGGTAGTAACAAACAAACACTAACACGCACACATACAAACTGTCACATATACATATATATTTTTTAATCATTTTCGGTCACGGCGGCCATTTTCATTGAGACTAGTTAACTGTGCAGGAGATATTATAGAACACAACATTCTCTTTCTGTAACTCTCATACTTCAATGGGACAACCTTTCGACACGACTAGTAAGAGATACACATAAGACGGCTTCATGTGCTTAGACTAGGCGTATAAAACACCACAATTTGCCCAAATCCGGGTTCTCAATGTGAACACTTTCCTTAGCAGAAAAGCTCAATAACTAAACTCGACCCGACGCGGGACTCGAACCCGGGACCTCCGGATCTGTAGATTCTCCCAGCAGTATATAACAGTACATAGAATAACAAAGTATGTGTGTGTGGTGTACTCACAACTTGCGCGGTGGTGCCGTCGGGCAGCGTGATGATGGGGCTGTTGGGGTCCACCTGTATGAGCGACACGGTGCCGTCCGGGTTGGTGATGGTCTGCAGCACCGCCGGCGCGTACTGCGACATCTGCACACACGGTTCATATCGTTATTGTTGAAATGAAACTTCTTTAGAATCGTTGCGATTTGAAACTCAGTGAAACGGAAATGCGACACGAGAAAGAGATAAACATATAAATATGCATATAGGATTAGGCCGGCGAGGGAATGAGATAGAGTATATGATATTCTATATATATAATTTTAAGATATGAATATCTAATAGGTAAATATTACAAGATATGAACTATAATTATAGTTAAAATATTATACATCAATTTGTGATGTATTTTACGTATCGAAATATATTATATTTGCTTTGCATCGGCTGGCACCGACTTCGAAAATATCTGATTTGGTATCTATTCTAAATGAATACCCTCATTTAGTTATTTTTTACATTTTAGTGCCTGGAAGTCAGTTTTTTTAAAGTTTTTATTTTACTTTAAACACTATAAATACGACAAATGTTAATGATTCAAATATTGTAACAGCTTCAGCTGATATCACATATTGTAATAACCTATACTAATTTTCGCTCACATATTGCAGTTTTATTTTTCTAATTTAACCATTTAAAAAGAAGAATTAAATATTAAGAATCCTTCTAATTAGAATTAAAATATTATTATAAATTTATTAAGGCAGTACTATTATTTGACGAAACATGTGATCAACTTCCATCTTTTTCACAGAACATAAACCAAAGTGTAGGTATGTATTATGTATATTGTATTGTATTCAGCCCTTTTGAAAGACCCACTGCTAGGTTTTCCTCCAATACGAGGGTGATCGGGCCATAGTCCACCACGCTGGCCAAATGTAGGTTGGCGGACTTCATATGTCTTTCGAAATTAGAAAGGCTTGCTATGTTCTCTCAGACATACAGACATAATATGTTTATAATATTATCAGCACCGTACATCAACATCGGTCAGTGTCATTTGGTCGATGCAGACTTGAGGCGAGGAGAGTACGGCGGGCGGCTGCGAGCGAGAGTTCGTTGACCCGCTCCCACCGCCGCCAGAGTTCGAACTGGCGCCCGGCATGCACGAGGCCTGCACGATCACGCCCGAGCACGCCCGACGATACACGGTCGCACACGATTATACACGATCACATCCGATGATACAAAGTAGTACAATAGTAAACGACACAACGTTACCAAGTCCGGTTGCAGCATTCCAACAATGAAGGCGTGGAGGAGGAAATTCATTTCGTTATTTTATTCCTAATGTTATTACATATGCATGCATTATAATATATTCAAGTTACATAATTAAATCTACACATAAAAATGTAAATGTTAGTATTTTAGATTTTATGTATTTAGTATATAGTATATGAAACATATGTTAATATTAACATCAAATTGTCATATATAATATAAATTATTATAAAAATAAGTCCCCCGGCCGCGTCTTTCTGTCCTCCTGTCTGTCTGTACGCGATAAACTCGACAAACTACTGAACGGATTTATTATTACGGTTTTCAACAATAGAAAAGTAATTCTTGAGGAAGGTTTAGGTATATAATTTATTATGCTTTTAATGTAACATTAGCTGAAATACGGCGACAAATGTTGAAGAGGTCGCAAAAAATCTCGCCAAATGGGCCGCCTTTCCACGTCCTCCGCGTGAAACTAGCAGATACAGGTCCTAAGTAATGTACTAGAGAATTCAAAATCTATAAAAATGCTACAAAAAAGTCCGCGATAGCATATCTCTATCTCTTACGGTTGACTTACATACAATTATGTATAATAATTATAAAACATTATATTATATAGTAATTGTGACATTTGCTTCACAGTCATGTTAATAAAATATAACCTATAGTTATTTATATTATACTAGCGGACCCGACAGACGTTGTCCTGTCTACACGTCTTTATTTTGAAAATTTCAGAATATTTTCATTTTATATCACAAAACTAATATTTATTATTACTAATAAAAAGTTTAAATCCGATAATTTATATAGTAATGTGTAATTAACAAGTAAGTAACAATGTACCAGGTCGATGCGCTGCGCCGCGGCCGCCTTCTCCTCGTCCTCCTCGGTGAAGGCGGGCAGCAGGTCCTCGCGCCCGTGGTACTTGTAGCAGTTGATCACGATCTGCCGCAGCGCGTGCGTCCACGACATCTGCACACGGACGTACATACAATTATATATAATAATAATAAAACATTATATAATAATAATAATAATAGTGACATTTGCTTCACAGTCATGTTAATAAAATATAACCTATAGTTATTTATATTATATTACTATCGATTCCCTATATTATGTCTAACGTTAGCTTGTGTTTCACTCTAGGTCTATCTTATTACTCAACTGCGGCGAAGCCCAAATGTGTATAATTAATAATATATGTGTGTAATTAATTATGTATATAGACATGTTTTATACTTGGTGCAAACCTTGCTACGTGTCTTCGACTATATAATAACTACATATTATGTACCTTTGTCAACTTGTTACATAATTTTTAGAAATATTTTTATCATTATGCAATTCCTGAACTGAAAATATACTTAAACAAAGTTTAACAGCACTGTGAAAATGCCAACTAACTAATATATTATCTTAACGGTTCCCGATTTTATTTAATAATGTCTTAAATGTATAAGATTAAAACAATCTCAAAACCCTAAACACAGTAGAAATTATCTGAAAAATCATTGCCATAACTAAAAAATGTAGTAAACTTTCATACACATATATGAGATATCAATTAAAACTTAAAAAAAAAAGAATCACTGACATTCCACGAGGAAGCCAACACTAACACAGAATAATATCTTCTACGAAAGGCGAGTTAATATTCTAGTCGCTCTCTAAGCCCACGCTTATGCTGAGGCTACTCTAAGGCTTAATGCCGTTAATTATCGCGATGATAAATTTTAAGTATTGATACAACCATGATATTTTTAATAAAACTATATTTTCGACACGTTTGGCTCAGTTTGTAGTGACCTTACTTGCTGCGCCAGCGGTCGCGGGTTCGAGTCCCGCTGGGGGCATTCGTTTGTGTGATGAGCACGAATGTTTGTACTCCAGTCATGGGTGTTTAAATTTATAATATACATATGTATTTAAAGTTATATATGTATAATGTATCAACTATCTCGTATCCATAACACAAGCCTCGTAGCTTACCATGGAATTAAATGGCGCTGTGTTAATGCTCTGACATATTTATTTATTTATGGCTTTGTTCGCAGATTTTTTTTCTCCCATAATTATAATGGCTGCAATCGTTATGAAAATCAATCTAAAAATCAAAATTAAATCCGAAACAATAGTTTTATTTAAAGTGTCAAATATTCGCGCAAATTTAAGAAAGTATTACGGCCACGATGATATACGAGTACCTATATCGTGTCGAAGAATTACAATTCTTGTAATGAAATTTGTAATGCCGTCAGGTGTTAAGCTATAGCTCGGGTTGTTATTTTGACAATTAATAGGATTTAACGTGTTAATTAATAAAACCATGGCCAGTAACGTATTTATATAAATTTTAACTTATATGGATTCAAGATCGTTCTTATGACATTTAATTCGTTACAGCTAAATAAATATAAAAAATTAGTAGCCATTTATAACAATAAAACTTATTAATTCTCAGAAAGTATGTCGATATATTAACTACTACAACGTATGTATCTAATTCATATCTCATTTGCCATATGGAGCATTATTGAAACATTAGAACGCAGGCGTGGCTCTATAATACCTATAATTTTCTAAATAATATCAATTACCTTACTACCCACTACTTTGGCTATTACGATAATAAACATAATTGTTGCTCTATAACTGTAGTGAAGTGAAATGAGTGAGGTGGTCACCTTCTGCTTCTCGTCCTCGGAGCGCGCGTCCATGCGCACGTTGGCCCACGGCAGGTCCTTGGGCCACCACGGCGGCCGCGTGGACTCGCGCCCCCAGCCCGGCTTGCCGCGCACTGTCGGGTATACACTTATATTTAACTGGCTCCGAAAAAAGTCAGTCAGTCAGTCAGTCAGTCAGTCAGTCAGTCAGTCAGTCAGTCAGTCAGAGAGTAAGATAGACGAAATGTCTTTAAAAATAAACGAGACCATACAAAGCTGTATACCATACAATGTCAAAAACAAAATATGTGCATATGTTAATTTATCGTTGTTTTTGATAATTAAACCGATCATATTACTATTTTTTTAAATCTACAATCTGAGCAACCATACAATTTAAAATGAGTTATAATATCAAATTTTAACTGAGGCGCGCTCTACCTTAATATTTTACTCAAAAGTTGACATACCTCATAATTTGTAAACCCCATTTTTTAACATAAAAAGGAACTATCCTTCCCTATATTCAAAATTCAAATACTTAATATATAAAAAAAAAAGAAAAAATATTTTACTAAGTTTATGTGCACAGTACCTATAGAAGCCTAGTAACATAAACAAAAAAAAACGTTCTGTAAAATTTCATATTTATTGCTTTGTGATATTTTACTCTCTCTACTGTCTCTTTTACCTCTGATGATATCGAACGCGGCACACACGCGCGTGACTCACCCATGGAGTACTTGAGCATGAGCGGTATGAAGGCGCGCAGCTGCGCCTGCGTCATCTTCTCGACGGGCGTGGGGATGCCGTCGATGATGAGCGGCGGCAGCTCGAACAGCAGCGGGTCGTCCGGCGGCGGCGGCGGCGCCTGCGGGCACCCGCCCAGCCCGAACTGACGCTCATTATTAGATCGACCTCCCGCCGCGCCCGCGGGCACGGCCGCCGCGCCTACCTACTCGCTGTGTCAGCGGTCGCGGGCTCGAATCCCGCCGGGATCGTTCGTTAGTGTGATGAGCACGAATGTTTGTACTCCAGTCGTGGGTGTTTATATTTATAATATGTATGTATTTAAAAGTTATATATGTGTAGCGTGTCAACTATCTGGTATCCATAACACAAGCCTCGTAGCCTACCATGGAACTAGATGGCGTTGTGTGTTAATGTCCCAACATATTTATTTAGTTATTACCTATTATAGCTTTCATTTTTAACAGCGAAAAAATGTCAACTGACTATTTATATACTCTACTATTGTATTGTATATATTCAAACGTCCCACTGCTGGCATTCCTGCAATACGAGGGGGATCAGGCCCATAGTCCACCACGCTGGCCAAGTGCGGGTTGACGGACTTCACATCTTTCGAAAACTTGTTAGGTTCTCTCAGACATGCCAGTTTCCTCACGATGTTTTCCTTCACAGTAAGGCAAGGCTCTATTGTATCATTTTATAATTAATAATAATACATCAAAAGATATCTATTGGCTAGCGACTGAATCTCGCTTCGCTTGATTATAATACTTTAACTTTGCACAATTATGATACGCATGTAGGTATCGCAAACATTAAAATACCTAAACAGTGACGAAAATCGTATCAAAATCCGTTGCGTAGTTTGCAAGAACTAAAGGCACAAACATACAGATGTGGCAGATAGCGACTTAGTTTTACATTTAGACAGATTCACTATTCGGAGAGCAATTTAATTTAGTAGAAAGGGGGTGTACGGGATGTAGTGGGGGGTGTGGGGGTGTGGGGGTGCGCCGGGCGTGGACAGGTACCTGCTGCGCGAGCGCGTTCTCGAGCTCCTCCATGATCATGCAGCGCAGGTTGCGCACGACGTCCTCGAGCGGCTTGGCGCCGAACACGCGGTACGAGGTGTTAGGCTTGCCCGGCGTCGCCACCAGCACCACCGCCTGCTGCCCCACGCGCGTCGCGAACTCCTCGATGGTTTGCTAAACACGTCAATTGTTATTAACATACACACTAGATATACTAATTCGAATCATTCAAATTGGACCCAGCACAAGAAGACAAAAATTTTGGTTCATAAAAAATGGACCTACTAAGCCCAATTAGGTCCATCCAGTAATAGACAAATTCATCATAAATTGGACAGTTTACAGTCATCTCCTTGTCCATTTCCCAATAACTTGGGGGTCGGCGCAGTACATCTTACGTACTGCTGATCGGTTGACAAAAGTTTTACTACCTCACATCAACTCTCTTTGAAATGCTGTTGTTTATCCACTATCGCGGACAAGACCCATGGTCCGATGACTAACACAGTACAGTAAAGACACAAATTGTAGTGTACCATAAATGGACCCACAAGGTCCAATGAGGCCAGTATAAGACACATTTGCAAATTGGAGATAATACAGCAAATGACACATATTCAATTTCTTTACAAATAATCTCAATCAAGGACAACGCTTATGTTGTAACAGTCCAATTAGTTAAATTAAAAAGTTGTAAACGCGACTTTATTATACTCTTCCCATCGCCTAAATTTTCTAATAATTGAAAAAATGCGCTTTCTATGTTTTAGCAAAAATAAATCCACCAAAAATTTGTTAAAATCATCAAATACCAATGTTTGTGGATTATCATAGCTGTTATTTTTGACGTATGCCATGTGTGGGTTGGTTCTTATATACTTTTTATCTAAGACTTAGGAGATTTTGGACCATTTTTACTGATTAATAATGTACATACATCATTCTAATCAGTATGGATTTTTATGTAATAACTCATATTTTAATAATTTGCGAGTTTTTTTAAAAAGGGGTATTTATTACATTACATTTAAAGAAATAACTTAAAACGTTTATATCAAAGCCCTGTTTGTTAGTATAAAAGTGTGGGGTATTCACACTTTTCAATGGACTTGGATTTTTTTCATCTTATTTTTTATTTTACGTAATTTTCAGTGATGTCGAAATAGATGTGACATACAAACAGACAAACGTAACAAAAATTATAAGTGTACTGATTTTGCCTTTTGGCAACAGAATCCTAATAAATGCAGTTATAAAACCATCAACTTTCTATCTTATCAGAGATATTTAAACAATTAAAAATGGCCACAACAACATCTAAATTAACTCTTATAAAACATACTTTCTATACAACCTAAAGTAATTTAAACAACTCACTCTAAGCTTTCGAAGCAGTCTGTTCTGGTGTCTCTTTCTAACCGACGGGTTGGTCTCAAAGGAGTGCGGTCGCTTGCGCTTCTTGGAGGAGGCAATCGCGGCGGCCGCGGCCATGCCTACGGGACCTGCACACCGTAAAGGAAAGACTCACACTTGTTAAGCAAAACATTGGATTTTCTTATATTTACGCGAATAAAAAAATAATCAATTTTTTTCAGTTTGCCATAAACCGTAGATAGTCAAAGATATAAAGTATCACTCTATTACGCGACCATTGCCAACACAAAATGTACAGAACAATCTTGATAGACAGGCTCGAACCGTCAAGATTCTTCTCATGAGTTTAAAGTTCTAAAGAGGGATAGCTTTTTTTAAGTAGGACTCGTTCGAAGTAGGTATTTCTCACAGAATAACAACATATAGGCAGCAAACGTACATAGACTAAAGTTAATTCTTACTATCCAACCATGGCGTGTCCATGTTTACCATCCCTTATGATATAAAATCAGTTAATTAACTAAGATAAGAACTGTAATAGAATATATAAAACATAAAACTTACTCACGCTTCGCTCGAGCGTTTCTAGGAACCGTGTTTTTGCTACTTCAGGTCATAATCCATCTGTTCACTACATTTCATACAAACCGACCGTCCAGACGTTCCGTTGAAGGTGATCAAATAAACATACCCCCGCACACACACACACACACACACTTTCGCATTTATAACAGTCCGAGATAACACTTTAGTCTCACCCGCAGCAGCCAGCTGTTTCGTGACCTCATCGCTCATGGCGCTCTTGATGACGTCAGCGCCATCCTCGTACGCGGAGCCGGCGGGCGAGGACGCGCACTCGTCCTCGTCCTCCGACCCGCCGCTCAACCCGCACCCGTCCACTTGGGACATGTCCTGCGAGACCAGGGTCTACTTAGGGCCTATGCACACCACATTTTATAAAGACAGCAGCGCCGTCATATTACAATCGCTCGTGCGATGATGCGATCGCTCGCACGATAAGAAATTGTGGGTCCTGTTTTGGAGCGATGCGATCACACTCGAAATGACAAAATATTATTTCAAAATTATCATTTCGAAAAGAATGATCGCGCGACCTTCAATAGGACATTCATTAGATATCGGTATGTCTGAACACACGGTCGCACGATCATTTTCGTCGAACGCACGTATCATCGCGCGAGCGATGGCAATAGGACGGCGGCGCCAGCGAAGACGCGCGTTTGATTGTGCTAATAAATTTAAAAAAATACACGCGTGCTTGCGTTCTCACCTATCGTGCGATAAACAGGCGTCGACAACGCAACTCCTAGTGTATATAGGCCCTTATTACATTATTCGTCGCCTCTAAATAATATACAGATATAATAACATTAAAGAAAAGTGGAGAGAAAAGATGTGACTTATCTGATATCTCTAAAAATTAATATTAATCGTAATTTATTTTTCATTAGGAAGTTTCATAGTAATATTGTATTTTTTATTAATTTTATGTCAAGACGCCTGACCTTGCTGACACTAGCCTATACTAATCTATCTACGCGAATACTTATAATGGTCAAGTGTAGCGCAAACAATTATTTCTATCTCCAGCAATCCTAAAAACTAATTCGGGCCCAACTAGGGTCTCGAACCCAGGACCTTATATTACGCGGCCAGCTAGCTACAACGAGGCAAAATTCTACATTTTTTGAAAATATAACAATATAAACGGAATGATTTAAAGGCAATATTACCAAATGGTAAGTAGACATTTGTATTGTATTTTCTGGAGAAATACATTATTGCAAACCATGCTCACCTCTTCAGCCATATCCATAGACTCTGTGCTGACTGCCGAATTCATGTTGCTATACTCTGGACCGCTTTCACTCTCTTGGACCATCGGGTTTTGGACCCGTTATAACAGTATGATTGATTTGACCTAATTACTTCTAGCTCCTTACCACCTGTGAGTAAAAATGTTTACTTATAAAATTATGTATATTTTACTGTAAATCTATACATAATATGTAATATAAGAAATTCAAAATTCTTCTGTACATATAATAAAATTCTGAGTGGAATCTGAACATTAAATATTTTATTTACAAATTCTTTTTCTGACTTATATCTCGCAAGAAACTTATTTTTTCTTTTCAAGGATAAATACTATATAAATTACTATTAAAACCTCTATTCTTCAGTTAGGTCTTTAAAATTTGTTTTGCGTTTTCATTTTTATTATAAAAAGTGAGCTTGTAAGCTTTGTGAGCGAGTGATACTTATTGGATAGGAATTTGAAATCATAAAGCAGACTTATTTTTTATAAGTGTACATTTTTAATAGGATCAGCCTTTTATAACTAAGACATCAATATAAGTATCTTAATCCATCCACTTGTGACAGACAGACATGTTAAGTTGGTAATTTAATTAAACAATATTAATTTTATATGAAAGTATTAAAATATTTTAGTACATTAATAATAATAATAATAAATATGTTGGGACAACACACAGCACCAGGCCATCTAGTTCCATGGAAAGCTATGAGGGGTTATCCTATGGAACTCAGATAGTTTATAAACTACACAATTATATAACTTTAAATAACTACATATTATAAACAAGCGGAAACTAGAAAAAGAAAAACAAATCTATTCCTCGGGAACCGTATATTTTTGCGGGATAAAAAGTAGGCTAACATGTTACTTTAGACTATAATCTATCTCTGTGCCAAATTTCATCCAGATCCGTTCAGCCATTCTGGCGTGAAAGAGTAACAAACATCCTTACATACTCACAAACTATCACATTTATATTATTTATACAGATATAAACACCCACGACTGGAGTACAAATATACGTGCTCATCACACAAACGAATGCCCCCAGCGGGACTAGAACCCGCGACCGCTGGCACAGCAAGTAGGGCCACTACAAACTAAGCCAAACGTGTTGTCAGTGCAATCAGTAACATTTTCATTGTAATTTAAACTAAAACTAGCTACTTGAATATTCCACAGTATCTAACCCCTACTTCAGAGTTTCATTTCTTACTTATTGACTTACCCTTGCTTCGCTCAGGTGCCTCCCTAGGTACATTTTAATTTTTTTGAATGGACCCCTAATTTTTTTTATAAAATAAAAGTTGTCTAAGTTACTCTGTATAACATCAGCTATCTGCCTGTGGAAGTCTTGTTAAAATCGGTCCAGGCGTTTCAGAGATTAGTCGGAACGAACAGACTGACAATAATTTTAAAAATTACATTTTTCTTATAAGTACCGTATATAACTTCATATGCACTCAATAAACAGCTGTTATTTTGACATTACAAAAAGACACTTCAATTTTATCCATCTGTCATCATTACATAATAATTTTTACCAAGTTGGTTTTCTATACTGATGTTGGTTTAAGAATTTAAAACCATATGGTTAGGATAAGGCAGCCACAAATTAAATACAGGATATGGAAAATTAGCTATTACAATAAATATTCTTTTTAATAATCTTTATTAAACAAAAATAAAATCTTTATAAATCTAAAAAATTAATTAATAGTTTATAATAGTATATAATTTAAAATATATTAACTCAAAAAATTCCTACCATATTAAACATATTTTGAATACACACAGCCAAATTGTGAATATTATAATATGGTCTTTAATAACCCCCATTTTTTTTTAATTTCTTTTTGTTTATAATAATTTTACATTCATATTCGATATAAATTAAAAAAAAAATTGTGATGTTTTTTCATTAAGTGGTAAATGATTATGTTAAATAATTTCACAAGATTAAGTAACTAAAATTTTAATGAGTTTCTGTAAATATTACTTCTTAGTTTAGTTCTTGTCAATTTTAATAGTTAAAATATTAAATAACACAAAGTAAATCCTGATTGAAAGAGATATAACATTGTATTTGATATGTATAATATATAGTATCAAAAATCAATAATTTGATAACTGCTTGCTATACTTATATCAGGTGAATACAAACAGCATTTCCTGCACATTTTATATTAAAATATAGGAGAATATTCTTAATTAAAGTAAAAGCTAATACTAATATCTATAATGGAAAGGATTTATTTATCCTCAATATGAATTTTGATTTAAATAGGTGCAACTTGTAAAGTAGTAAAAAACTTTAAATATTGAATAAAAGTAACAGAGTGATGGCAAATTATGTCTAAAAAATATTCAATGACCTTATGACATCTTTGATTTTATTACTGCTTCTCTCTATAACTTATTAGAAATAGTATGTAGATAATTCCTAAATAAATTTTCGAATCAAAATAAATGTCAAAAACTAGAAACGAGTCAAAATGATAAATGTCTGGGGTTAAATAATTCTTAAAAATTTAAAGGGTCGACGTAATATCATCTATTCTATTGTGTAGGCAGCTAGTTCAATGGAAAAAATCAATACTCGAGCTTCCCACAGAATAGCCAAATAGAATATCCTAGAAATGATTTCGTAGACAGAACGAATCAAATCAATGGGGCATGAAATGGTTATCGAACTCAAGCTGGATAAGCGGCAGGCAAGCAGCTTTAGTTTATCACGGGTTTATAGAATATATTACAAAGCTGACTTTCCAAATGACGCATTTTGTTTCATGTTTTTGTTTAGATGCAATTTGAAGCAGCTAGCCGCGCCGGGTCAATTTTGAAGGCGAATGACATAAACTCTTTTGCGGCGGCGTAAAGGATAAACCCAAATGAATGGCCATCATGAAGGGGTCGCGCGTTCGAGCAGGCCCAGACAGAATAGAAAGACTACGACTGCGTACGCACCTGCGTGATTTGAAAGACATTTTGCACTCCTATTGGAAGCTCTTCAAGCTCTCGGTGATGTAACCCGACGAAATCGACACTTTCTAAGACTTTCTCACTCAACTGAACACGAGATTCACGAAATATACGAAGAGCTCAGGAGACCCCGAAAAATGCGAGTCCTCCATTGATATCGATCGGTAAACGCGATATGTGAACATTGTACACTTCGTATTCAGGGGCGCCATTTTGTACGAGTCTGCGCGGTATGGGTTTCTTTTCGTATGGAAAGGGAAATCGCCCCTCGGACTGCGGGGGGAAAGCGCTTTTATTTTTGTATGTAAGTTGAATTAAAAATTTATTTTTATATGAAACTCACCCCTTTATGTCGATTAATTCTTTGCTTGACTTAATTTTTTGTTCAAAAGAAGGGCGATCAGGAAAATTCCAAGTTTATTTTGGAAAACATTGATCTTGTCATGTGGTGGCGCTATCTGTTGGAATTTTCATGAAGTCAGTTTTGACATGCATATTGTAAACAATTTAGCGTGAGAGCAAAAAATATAGTTTTATTTTTGTAAATATTGTCAAAGTAAATAATTTAAATTGCAAAAGTGAATGAGCTTATCGAGGCCACAACGTGTTTATAAATAGTTAACTACTTGAGGAGCTTTTTCGGTAGGTTTTATTTTTTAACAAGTGATTGTAATAGAATAATAAATACTATGTTTATATTTACTTGATTTTTTTAAATTTGCTATTAAAATACGTAATTATGCAACGTAAATAACACATTCCATGAATAAAAAGTGATAGCCAAGAATATAACCTATACTCCATATTTAGAACTATCTATGATTATGAATAAGTAAAGGTACTTGTTATCTTTAATATTTTTGGTATGTTCTAGTACATTATCTTTTCAATTTCCATTTAATAAAATATATGTGGTATCAAAGAAAGATGTCAGTGAATTGAATCAGATAGATAAAATAAAACTAGCTGTAATTTGTTTTGTATCTATTTTAATGATTTTTATATATTAGTTGTATATATTCAGTTTTACAGAAAAGTTGCAATTATCTTGTAAAAGCTAAGTTTGTAAAATATAAATTTTCATAACATTATAACAATGTTACATGACAATTTAATAATAGCACTTTGAAAATTTAATATTTCTAATATTTATAAGAATCATAGTACAAAATCAAAAAAAAAGTCAAGTGCGAGCCGAATTCGCACACGAAAGGTTCCATGCCATTGTACATGTACTTTTTATTAATATGACTTTTACTTGTAAAAAATTTTTTTTGTGCATTTCTATTATTTGTTGTTATAGCGGCAATAGAAATACATACTCTATGAAAATTTCAGCTCTACCTATACAGTTCATGAGCTACAGTCCCCTGACAGACAGATGGTCAGACAAACCACTATCAGTCATAGTAATAGGGTTCCCTTGGCACCTTTCTGGACCGGAACTCCAAAAATGAAGTTGAATCATTAATAATTATTTTCCTAATAATAATAATTATTTTCCTAAAATATTTTTTTAATAAAGGTCAATAAAACAATATATAAAAATAGTTGTCATCTTATATTTTATTTATAATATTTTATAAAACTAAACTTAACACCTAAATGACTAATTTAGTGCTTATTACAATATATGTATATAAATTTCTAGTAAAATTAAGAAATCACATGTTAAGTATTTTTTCTGTCATACATATTGCTTTTTATCGAGGCCTTTTAAACTCGCCAGATTCTTCTGAAGATCCTGTAAAATATAAATTTCTATTTAAACTTATTTATAATCTATATAAATAATTATTATAAAAATATACTATGTTACATTAAACATACATTACTTTGAGTTTTAAGAGAATCATTAGAATTTATTGAACAAAGTACCTAATATTAAATTAATTATGTAAAAAATTTTTTAATGAAAGGTAGAATTATATTAAATACACAATGAATTGTAGCATATCTATAAAACTTTCTCAGATATATTTTAAAATGGAACCTTGAGTCACTGAGTGTGGCCTATTTTAAAAATATTTACATTCTCAAAGAACATAAATAGTTCTTCTAACTGGGTTGTGGATAGCATAAGCGCACTATAAACATTTATATTACGAATATTAAAATGTTATCAGAGAGTAATTTAGAAGTAGAATATAATATAAATAATACTTGACTGTATGCAAAAATCTGTTTGTCGGTTTGTTCTTTAGACATGGATAAATTATTATAAGTAGAAGAATAATATAGACTACTTCTGCCCCAAAACATAAAGTGCATAAAATATACTAAAATATCTGGTCTCTAGTAAATACTATATGTATTTAAAATGATTAGCACATTTGGAATGCTAGTTTATATCGAAATAAAATTCATCATCATTCATCACTTCACAGTTATGGAGGCTAACTCTTCAATTCCATAATCCATTCCATATCCATAAAATTTTAAAAACTTTAAGCATTTTTGACCAGTCAGTCAATGGAAAGATTCTTAAAATTAATAATAGAAAGTAGAAATTCTTATTTAATTTAATAATTTCACATATAAGTTCAAGTTTTTTTTTGTCTTGTGCATACTAAGATTTAAGAAATCTTAACTTTAATAAAATCATGGGTTATGCATAAAGTGGCACAGAATTTTAGATCATTGTTGGTTAATGTTATTTATTGTATTCAATCCTTTTGTTAATGGTAAATAATGGCTTGTAAAGAATGCCAATTGTGTATTTATTAAAGAAAAGTCAAGTCACCGTAAGTCCGATGACAGAACCTGCCCCGCCAGCCGGGCTCGCAACGGCAGGCACCGGCGCGGCACACGCCGTGGCGGCAGGCGCGCGCGCACTCGCCTGAGCGCCGCCCCACCTCGCAGTGGTTGCCGCCCGAACCCGCCGGGCACCGGCACTTGTTGATGCCCTTACATTTGCCCCCGTTTAGACATGGGATCACGCATTTGGCTGAAAATAATTGCATCGTATTGATGTCTTGTGTTATTGATGTGACAGTTTGTTAGTTGGTTAATTGTGACATTTGATTTAATTCTTTGATTATAAATATCTTCAAAATTAATATGATATAGACCTTTGGTATGGTTCATTATTCAACATTATTTGGTATGTTAGTTTGTATTGATAGAATATTTTTTGAAAAACATTAACATTTGCTTACAAAATTCGCAACGAAGCCCATAATATCCTTTAGGACATTCACACGTATCCTTTTGTATACATTTACCGCCGTTCAAACACTTCTGTGAACATATACCTGAAACAATAATTAATTGTTATTATTTCTATCTTTTCAGGACAGTCCAAAATGTATCGTCCTCCGCCACTACTACGCCACGTGAGGAGAGCCCATTCGGCTACATGGAAGAAAAATCCAAATGTAAGTTTCTATACCATACCCCATATGTAAAAGGTACACAAATACTAAATTAAACTTTAAAATTTTAAATAAAACTATCTTTTCTTTTTTTTTCGCGAATTTATTTTAATTTTTGGTTCCCGGCGTTTCGAATGCTTTACAGCAATCATGGTCACGGGAGAGACTTCGCGAAAAAATCCGAAAAGATAGTTTTATTTAAAACGTCGGGAACCAAAAATCAAAATAAATTCGCGAAAAAATCCGAAAAGATAGTTTTATTTAAAATGTCAAGTATTCGCGTAAATCTAAGGAAGTATTAAACTTAAAAAGTTTTAAATTAAAAAAAAATCTATCCATTATTGGGTGGATTGTTTTCTTGTAATTTACATTGACCACTTTTGTGTATATACATTAAATTGGTTCAAATGACTCTTTTTTAAGTCGGTCAAAAATAAACAACAATAAATAAGTGCTACACAATAAACCGTGCTAAGCGTGTATATGCATTATTTAACGACCTTCAAAGTTACATATCTGCTTCTTCGATAAATTCATCTTAAGTAAATTAATTGAATTAATTAAAAGTAGTTAATTTATTTCATTGTCATTTGCAAATGAACAGAATTAGAAATGAACTGTAATAGTGTATCAAGTCATACTAAGTGTAGGTAGGAATATTCAATTATAATAATATTCACAAAAGCACGCTTTTGGAGCGTATTCTAGAACTGCACATATAGAATACACAATACTATTTCTGTTAACAGTTGGACTCGATAATCCGTGTGGACCACGCGGGCGAGCTTGGGGCAGATCGTATTTACGCGGGGCAGATGGCAGTATTAGGGAACACAGCTGAGGGACCCCTCATCAAGCACATGTGGGAGCAAGAGATCAAGCATAGGGAAAAGTTTGAGGAGCTCATATCCAAGTACCGCGTACGACCAACGGTAATGACGCCTCTATGGAATATTGCTGGGTTCGCACTTGGGGCTGGTAAGTGAAAATTAAATGACCCTAATATAATCTATAAAAATAATTAATTTTATATTTTATCTTGAATACTATATTTAATAAGATCTGCTCTATACCGATTTTTAGGAACTTAAGAAACAAAACGAAGTACGGGGATTCATATTATTAAATTCTTTTAAACCTGATGCAAAATGGAAAATATGTACATAATTATTTATATTAAGTTTTCTTTAAAGACTAAAGTTAAAAGTCGTTACTGAAGTTAGAAAATTATGAATAGTTCTTTCATATTGCCTAAAATATTACATAATAAATACAGTTTATAAAATTTAGAATGTTTTTTTTTTCAGGTACAGCCCTGCTAGGTAAAGAAGCAGCAATGGCGTGCACAGTCGCAGTCGAGACAGTCATTGTAGATCACTACAATGACCAATTGAGGACTTTAATGGAAGATCCTAATGTAGATAAAGATATCCTACAAACTATAACCAAGTTTAGAGATGAGGAGCAAGAACACCACGACACTGGCATTGACCACGGCGCAGAACAGGCTCCGTTCTATAAAGCTTTGACTGAAGTGATCAAAACCGGGTGCAAAGTTGCTATTGCTATATCCAAAAAGATTTAAGTCATCTAATTAAGTAGATAGACCGAAATAAGAGCCCAAGAAGGGATTTTGAGATTTACTCAAGCGCGGCTCAGATTAACATAAGGGGGGATACCTTGCACTCTGTTGATTACCTCCACAATAATAAATTCTCTATATAAGGGCGTGCGTCTAGGCAGCCGATCAAAATATTTAAAAAATATTTTGATAAGGTAGAAATACTTGAAACCATCAGATTAAGGCGTAGTGGGCTAATTACATGCTGATGTATTTTATTTTCAATCAATGTGCCGTTTTTGTATTTCGTAATTATCTTTCTATTGTTGTAGGTTGGCCCTGTATCATTCATTTATAGTTTTAATTCCATGTTATAGCTGCTGAATGACAAAATTACCGCTCAAACTAATTCGTGTCTTCCTCAAAATACGTGACACAGGCAGAATGTATTCCGTCTGTTAACGGAACTCTAAGCCATTAGAAAAAAAATACATGCTGAAAAATGTGCAATTCAATAATCTGCCGATTTCCACAAGCCGAAGAGGCGAAAATAGTCCATAAATTTTATTGACTTATATATGGCGGAGGTACTCAACAGAGTGCACGGTATCCCCCCTTATATTAATCTGCCGCGCTTTAAATAAATCCCAAAACAATTTCATAGAAGCTATTTTTATATTAAATCAAACAAATAATATAAATATTTGTTTAATCATATGTAATTCAACAATAAAAACATTTCGTGTTATTCGCTCGTCAGTATTTTTATTTGTGACAGGTCACTAGATTAGAGACTGGAGGTATTAATTATGGTTCTAGATTGTGTAATATAGCGTTATCACAAAATGTATGTTTATTTATTTACCATAATCTTTTAGTAAAAAAGAACAGCCATTGATTAACAAATGATGTATTAAAGAATGGAGACGTTTCAGGATTTTTTACTGAATAATAATAATTAATCTATATATTAGGCAAAAAATATATAATGGTATTAATTGGGATAGGAAATCCTATAGTCGATTAAAATTTCAGAAGTAGAGAAATGTGCAAAGGTTACTTTTGAGATAATTGAAATGACAACAGTAGATGCAATAAGATCAAGTATTTATTATAAACATGATTTAATAATTTGGGATAGATACTCGTATAATCTTCATATTTTAAAAAAGAGACGATACACACTGTATTACTTTCAAGCACCACTTGAATGGAGAACATTACTAAGTCTGAAAGAAAATTAAATTTTGTACCACATTAGAATATAGATCACTAGTGACTCACCCTCGTATCGCTCGGGTTCGTCCCTAGGTTGATTCCCCATACAAACTTTCATCCCCATTTTCATCCCAGTAAAAGAGGATTTCCGGAATAAAAAAATCCTAATTCCTTCCCAAACTATCTTCTTACCAAATTTCATCTAAATCGGTCCAATAGTTTTCCAGTTTATCCGTTACAAACATACAAAAATACAAATCGTTCCTCTTTATAATATTAGTGCAGATAACTAAAGCATTGGTAGTTTTCTTTTTAAAATAAAAAAAAAACAATTAAGGTAAAAAGAAAATGAAAATTAATAGTTATGGATTTTTTGTAATTTACATGGGATATAGCATAAAGTAAAACCTAAACGAAAAAAATGTTCACCTGAATAGTTTACCTTTTTTTTGGTAAAAAAAGTATACATATCACAATTATTTTTTTGAGTTTTATTAAGCTTCTAGGTTCTCAACGTTCTGAATGCTTTACAGTAAATAATCACTGAAGACACCGATTTTTTATTAAAAAGGAAAAAAAAGTTTATAATAAACAATAGTTTTTAGTCTGACCTCCCTCGCAATGCCGGCCCTGATAGCCGGGCGGGCACGAGCACACGCCCGGCGCCGTGCAGTTGCCGCCGTTCATGCACTGCGGGTAGCACAGTGCCGTTCGGCAGTGCTGCCCCATGTAGCCCTCGGGGCACTGACATATCTTTTCGCTATTGCACCAACCCTGATTAGCACACTTTTTGTCACATTCCGGATCGGGGCCTAAAAATGTAATTAATATTTATAAAAAAAATATTTATTACAAATGATAAAAAAAATATATTTATTATAGGTAGATATATTTATGAAAAAATAGTTAGTGAATATATAATTTACATGCATTTAATTTTGATGGATTATAAATATGATTTTTTAATAGGCAAAGCTTATAAACCCGAATCCATTTATTTTAACAAGCTTTTTTAACTTCTCATGTTATTAAATATTGGAAGTCGATATTAAAGTAGTTCTAATTGTAAGTTATAAAATATTAATCAATACGATTTTTTTATATTTTTTAAGTATGGGTAATCCAGTGATAATACTATAACTTTATTTTTATTTTCGGAATTTTTCAAAGTTCGTAAGTTCTATATTTTATAATAAGTAAATAATAACATAACCTTTTGGATTGGAACTAATATTAACCCTTAATTTGATAATGTTCACTGTGATAAACATTCATAAAAAATAAATACTGAGCGAGTATTATCTACTATTTTTCGGTTTTTATTTTATTTATAGCAAGTTTAAATTATATTTATTGGTATAAAAAATAATTCTGCTAGTGGCAACATCGTTCATCTGTCATTATTGAGACAAAATGTCAGCGAGGCGCGGGCACTCGATTCTTCGCAAGGTAAATGTTTTTAATTTAAATGTTTTACATAACTAAACTAACTTTCTTGTGGTTTTATTTACTAAACAATGTTTGTGCTTTGATTTGGAATGGTTTTTACGCAATATTTCTTGTTTTTGGTAACTTTTTTTTGGCCGCAAACTTGTTTGTTCATCACAGTGAACACTGCCAAATACTCGAACAAGTATTGTCAATTTGATTTTTTTTCAATTGTTCATTGTGATGAACATTGCCAAATTAGGTATAACTTTTATTTACAAATAATATGCTTTTATTTCGTGGGCTTCTACTGGGCTTATTTGTTTTTTGTGCTTGTTAACAGAATAAAATACAAAACCGCACGCATAGAATACTAGCACTTGTCCCTGTCGAGCATGCACCATCCGATACTAGTGATAAATCTGAAAATAACAGTGACAACGAATTTCCACCACCATCTCCAAGCCCTGTTTCATCCTCTGCGCCTTCCATTAATTCTTCTTTAGAACGCTTAGACATCTATAGTAGTCCCGAACCCGAACATACTCAAAATGACGATGAACAGCCGTTAAAACCATCCGATTTATACCACTCCGAAGCTCTCCAATTAACTCCAGTTTTGCAGGAAATTTGCCCCCATACACCATCCAGAGAACCAAACTATGATAATGTTCCATCATTATCTTCAATAATATCACTTCCATCTGAGATACAATCACCAACACCTTGTACGTCTTATACTAGAAAAACTAGATCAAAAAGCAGATAGCTCCAGCTGCCAAAAAATCTAAGAAAATTCCTAAATTTTCTCTTTCTTACAAATGGAAGAAAGGTATTTTTCGTCACCGTGCCGTAATCGAAGAAAGAACCGAAACCTATGTCGATTTTCCAGATGATGATCCTCTTGATTATTTGTATTTATTTTTTTCTGAAGATATATTTACCGATTTAGTAGACCAGACCAATCTTTACTCCGTTCAACAAACCGGAAGATCCATACAAGCATCAGAGAATGAGATGAGGGATTTTATAAGCATCCATATTCTAATGGGAATTGTTGAAATGCCTTGCTATCTGGACTATTGGAGCAATTCGTTTCGATACGGCTTAAAACGTATGAATTCGGGTCACGAGGCAAATATGAAATATTAAAAAAAAATGAAATAAGCACAGTGTTACCAACCTAAAAAATGTAAGCTGCTGTGAGCAGAGGCACCGTGTATTCAGCCAGTCAGCGTACTCGGCGAGTGCACCGAAAACAATGGATTTGGTTAATACGGCCGGGACCTGACGCACTTTATCATTTAGTGCGAGCGCAAATATTAGTACTTAATTTTAAAATATAGCGAACAATACATTAATTGACAATTCTACTTTAATTTTTTTTATGAGTACTTAAATCAAAACATAAGAATACTTTTTCTTCGTGGTACGTTCTTATTTAAAATTTAAAAGGCATTAAAGATTTCTCAATAAATGTTATGTCTTCGTATCACACTAAATTACTCTAAAAATATTAATAATTCATCATAAAATGTGAACAATGGACCAATAAACTGTCAATGGGTGTATTGTTCCGCCAGAACACGTGAACACAAACACTGCGTAGTAGGTACGTGAAAACATGTTGAAATACGAGCTTTAATGGGTAAGCTAAAAGCTTTCGTGCGATTATCCACTATTTCTATTTTAAATACTTAGCTACCTACGCAAAAATATAAACAGTTTTTGTATTTGTGTTCCTTGAAATTTTGAATAATGACAGAAAAGGCATGAGAAATTGAATTAATAAGCTTGACAGAGTAAGATGTTATGAATAAAATTGTAGTATAAAATAAAATATTATGATTTAATATGAAAAAAATGTAGATTGAAGAAAAATAAAAAGCATTACGATTGTGTTTCTAATATTGTAACTTGTGTTTAAATTCCATAAATGAATTTTATTACTAAATACTTACTACAGTTTATATAAAGGAAAATAATCTGTTTGTTAAATTTTAAAAACATAATATTACAGCATTCAGAAGCACATTCGTATAAGTGTTAAAAATGCGTTGGCGATACAATACCTGTCCTTTCTAAATACACACCTCTCTGTGCGCATTCCTTCTTTAGGTTTAACCTTAGGGGCGTGCCCTTCAACGGGGTGCCTCGACCGTTTTTAAGCACTAGCCCTATTTCAAACGTCGCTACGCCACTTACATTGCCCATACATGGCAAAAATATACTGAATTCTGAGGACAATACTGCTTTGTGAATAAAACGCTCATTAAAATTAAACTCAGAAATTATAAATATTATTATCCATTCCCTATATATAATACGTGTGCGTATAAAGAAAAAAAAACAAATTGAACTACCTATTAGATTTTCGCAGACCAAGTTGGACTTTCCTAGCTAGTATTCGAGCGGTTATTTTAAAATAAATAAATATTGGCAGACGGCACACACCTTTCAATGTTTTAAAATAAGTACTAATTCCTAATACGATGACAATAATTGTTTCTCGGTAATAAGTCAACGATCAGTTATTTCGCTAACATGTACTATAAAGGTACTAACGCTATTTTTTATCTATATCTAATAATAATTTATTTTAAATATTAAATAAAATTAATTATAAAAGGCTAAGACTGGAAGAATAGGACAGACGGAACACGCAGAAGAACACTAATGTAGGTAATAAAAAACTTAAATTGCTCTCCGACTCGTTGACAGAGCGCACAACCAAGTCGCTGAATTTTAAGGCAAGAAATATTAAACAAGAGTTCCTTCTATAACAAAAGAAGTAATTACTAAGAAAAAGTTTTTAAAAATTCTATTTATGAAATAGGGAATGGAAGCTAGTTATTTTTGAAGTTAAAATTATAATACCAAATATTTTTTTCTTAATTATTAGTTATAAAGCGTTTAAAACATTCCTCAGTTAGGCACTCAATACTCCGGGCGTCACTCACTAGAGTTTGGTTTGTGCTTTCTTGCTGCACTGTCAGCCTCATTCGGCTTCTTACGTAAAAATGTTACTTAAAATATAAGAGTGTTATTGTTATGACTTACCTTTAGGGAGTTTAGGCACCCGGCCCTGGGTTTTGATGGATAGCAGTGGTGGCTTTAGAACCTTTGGGTCAGATGACGTGAGAGTATCGAAGTTATAAAAGTATTTCTTCTTCGATCGCCATGTAAAATTGACGTAGCCTACTTCTGATGGTATGATTGGTAGCTTGTGCGAGAAGTTCGGCTCTAGGATATATGGTGATATGTTGCCATTTACTATTGCGAACACTTGCATCGATATACCTGAAAAAAAAATTATAGACATTTTTTTAGGTATGTATTTAAAGGAGAAGAGTGAGTAGAGAAAGAGAGAGAGAGAGACAGTAGATATAACATTGATATTGGTAAAGGTAGCGTAGCAATTTTGCTAATTTTAGGCCGAATGTATTTTAACAGTTGTTTGATTCTCAAACGGATAGTGTGCAGTACTATTGATACTGAACGAAGGTGTTTCCCTCGTTAAAAACACGACTAAGAATTTTATTTGTTATTTATATGAAGCAACTTATCTTCCATTCGCTCGGGTGCATAGAGAGTGCCCTAGGTGTCTTTTTGCCATACATTTTATTGGTTTATTTCAAATTCTGTCCTTCACCTCCAATTCAGCCTGTTTTTGCTCGAATTCAACTCAAGTTATTTCTCAGCAAGCATGTTTATATCCAAATAAAAATGTAGCTTTCTTATAGTGAAAGAGTTTCTAGAATCGGATTAGCAGTGTCGAAGATTACCCTATATAGACACTTAAAATTTTACCTCTTTATAACATTACAATATCTACCCGTAAGATAGGTACTTTCTTAGATTTACGCGAATATTTTTCATTTTAAATAAAACTATTTTTTGAGTTTTTTTGTCGCGGATTTATTTTGATTTTTGTTCCCGACGTTTCGAATGCTTTACAACAATCAAGTTCACGGGAGAGACTTAGGTTTTAGACGTCTCCAAGAATTATGTATTATAGTTGTTACAGATAGTAAAGAAAAAATAAGAAAGTATCTTACAATATTTGTTAACTTTAAAGTTGAAGTCTTTAATAAAACTTTCTTTCAAAAACTTTGAGAAAGGTACGTACTTATCACCTTTACCGTTCGAACGCTACGTGAGTAACTGACGCTTAGAGCTCGATTGTATGAATTTCAGTCGCTATAATACGACTGTATTGCTAAGCTACCTCCTCTACTAAATCGCAATAAGTGGTTTTCTTCTTTTGTATTTCCATCATATCAACTTTGTGTTTGAATTAACGTCGAAAGATATAATCTAAGGATTTTTATAATCAAGATAAACAACGTATTTATTGTTTTTAAATCGATTTCAATCGAGTTTTCTCCGTTCATACGTCATTGATAAAATAAACTTCTTCCAGCAGTTTTTTTATCCAGTAAATTTAACTACATCAAGATTTCTGTCTCGTTACAAATAAAGTTTTTACTTACCACTGAACATCCTCACTTGTCTCTCGTCGATCCAGAGTGATATGTCGGAGTTCATTTTGTCAGGGTCCTTGTATTCGCGCCGGCCCGCCCCCAGCGAGAGTGACATCGCCAGCGCCACTCCCGCGCACACTCGCGCTGCAAATGACGCCGACGGCCACATTCTGCAACAATATTTTATTTTGCTATCAAACAAGAAATGAGACTGGACAAAAAACATTTTTTTTTATATTTAAAAGGAGGCAAACGAGCAAACGATCTACCTGATGGTAAGTGGCTATCGCCGCTCATAGACATCTGCAACATAAGAGGAGTTGCGAATACATTGCTGGCCCTTAAGGGACCTGAGAACTCGATTCTTGTAGAGACCTATCCTATATCTTTAAGCGAGCAATTCTTGTATATATATTATATATATAATCTGAATTTCGGAAACGGCTCCAACGGTTTTCATGAAATTTAGTACATAGAGGGTTTCGGTGGCGATAAATGGATCTAGATTAGTCTTATGTCTGAGAAAACGCGTGTTTTCGAGTTTTCATGCAGTTTTCTTTTGAATTATTCCCCGCAAAATATGGTCGGTAATTTGCACGCTCTGGTGTAAACATCGTGGTCAAGCGGCCAAGGTGCAAGATCAACAATCACAGGTGTCCAGGTTCGAATCTCAGTCGCATACAAAGTTTTTAGTTTTGTTTTTTTTTACATTTATTCTGGTTTTTAGTTAAAAAAAAAGAAAACTGTACTTTAGGCCAAAAACTCCGAGCGAAGCAAGGTAGCCCAGGTGTATCTGTATGAATATTATAAATGTGAAAGTTTGTAAGTAAGTATAATGTGAAAGTTTAGTTGTTTGCATGTATGTTTGTTACTCTTTCACGCCAGAACGGCTGAACGGATCTGGATGAAATTTGGCACAGAGATAGATTATAGTCTGGAATAACACATATGCTATTTCTAAAACAATTTGACATGTCCGTGGCCTAAATATAATATTTGCATGATGAAGTGATAAATCACGTACACTTCATCCAATAGAAAATTTGAGATTTTTATTGAACTAAACGATGGAGATTACAATATACAAAGTAATATGACATATTAAATATTGTGTTGAATAAAAAGATACATTAAAACATTGATAAACTATGCACGTTATTGTGTACTATAATTTACTGTTTATAATCATACTCCACGTGAAAAGATCTAAACATTTTATAGATACTCGTATAAGATGATGATGAAATTTTCAAGCTGATCAAAAATATTGACATCTCATTTGTATGTACCTACTGTTAACTCTACTCTTTTACTGTATGAATTGTTTGTTTGTGGAAACTTTATTGGTGTATGTACTATTTTTATTGTTATATGTTGTTTGTGTTGTAACACTGTATATTTCCCTAATAATAAATAAAAAAAAACTGTAAAAGGCTAAGACTGGAAGACTGTATAAGTTGACAGTAACATATTAGCGAAAAGTAAACTAAATAATAAGCGTGTAACAGCCGTATAATGTGTTTGTTGACCATATAAATATTCTGGCGGCCGCCTCAGAAAAAAATTGTGAAAAAAACAAAATTATCACAGTTAACATAATTGATTGGGACCGTTCGGGACGTGCTCCCACAATAGACGCGCCGTGAGAAACCTCGACAGGGAGTGAAAAAAACCCAACAACTTCATTAAATAACCCCTGTCAAAAGTAATGTCTAATACTTTTTTCTCGCTCCCGATGTCGAATTATACTAACAAAAGGTGTTAACGAAAAAAAAATAGTCACACTCGTCACCACTACATCTCCAGGGGTGCACAACTGTTTTGTCTAGGAGGGACGACGTCAGTTATAAGTGCTCCCGTCTCGTTATTACATTGTTATTATAAAGTTAAATAAACTTTTTATTTTTTTTAACTTTACAACATGTCTAGAATATTTCTTATTCATTTATAATGAAGTCGGCGTCAATTAAAACACGAATACGCAACTTGACGACTATCAATATAAGTGAGCAATAAAAACCTATTGGCTCTCAAACATGAAGCAAGTGTCTGTAGGTAAATAATAATGATGTAACAAATTACACCACACATCAGCTTCAACTGAGTCGCCAATAATATAGCAATCTAGTTTTATTAATAATTTATTATTATTACTATAATTGTGCAAGTTGGAACTGATAACTTATAATTAGCATAAATCATTGAGTTGACTCCTTTTTTTCATTCATTTAAAATGAACAAAAAATTGATTACAATTCTCGATGTCAGTAGATAATTAATTTTTAATTAATGTTAAAATGCGATTACAACATTTTTCGATTGTTTTTGATGAGAACTTGCCAGAAAAAAGTTAGTTCGGTTTCATTTTTTTTAACGAGGTAGGTAAATGTATAAAAATTGTAAAATTCCTCGAACATACTAAAAACGTAAATATTCATGTCCTTAATATTCATGTCCTTACGTATCTTGACTCAACTATATTTTAGCTCTTCAGTGCAAATACTTACATGATTTTTTTTCTTAATACCTACTTACGTAGGTAAAGTTCATAGGTAAGCTTTATACGACGTACGATTGTGAAGTTCGAAAGAAAAAACAATCATAAACAAAATTTAGTTATTTTTTTATAGCTAATGTCCAATGACCCAACATATAAATAAAACATATAAAAATAGCTAAGTAAAATAATTATACTCGTAAATCTACTTGAAGGAAGACTTTTTTTATTTTAATACCATTTTAATTTATTTTATAAGCAGAAGCAAATAATTTATTTCGTGTTGAATTTCAGTAGGCCACACACGATCGAATAAACTTGGACCCAATCAGTCTGAATCACTGAATAAAAATACACATTGCGGTTTTGAATGTCACTCTCGCGATGCGACGCTCACATCCTGCGATAAGGGCGCAGCAAGCGAATGACCGATGCGGTTTTGCGAAACTAACACCGGGTCGAGAGGTGGCTACCAGCCTTGCTTTATCGTATTTAGACATCAAATATTTTACCCGTTGTCATAATTAGGCCAATTTACGCCTACGTTTCCATTAAATAGACACACGGTTTTACTTAAAACTTAATATTAATTGAAATTTGCTAATGGCTTCTAAAACTTTTCAACATTTACTATTTAAATCCTTATAATGAATTAGATGGATATTATTCAGCAACATGAGAGCGCTACGTAATTAAGTTCTACGTTTTATTACAAGCATACCTACTATAAAGTATATTTTATGTATGACAAAAACGTCAGTTCAGCGTAACTTGCGTGTAAATATAGTGAGGTACATGATTAAAAAATGATTCATAATTATAAAAACGACAAGTCATAAGAAAGGTTGGGCGTCCCTGTGAAGCACTTGTTAACCTAACCAGCCGCCGAGTGGTCGCTCGCTCGGGAACAGGTAAGTCCAAAGCGAAGTAAAAAAAACAAGGTCCGGCTGACGCGCCCGCTCCTGTCCGAGGATAACGCTTGCTGTTCACGATTAGGACTTTTTCATGTAACTGCCAAATCAAAATAAAATTAATTATTTTAGTTTTGCAGCTTGATTACTGATTTTTGATTTAATCACTACATAGTATAAAACAAAGTCGCTTCCCGCTGTCTGTCTGTCCCTACGTATGCTTAGATCTTTAAAACTACGCAACGGATTTTGATGCGGTTTTTTTAATAGATAGAGTGATTCAAGAGTTAGGTTTATATGTATAATACATGCATAATATTATAGTACAGAATAACCGAGAAATTCAAAGATTTCTATTTCATACTAACCGTTAAAACGTAGCTAAATAAATAAATTATAATATTTACCATACAAATCTTTACCTAATCTCTATAATAAAGAGACTATACGGCTTCTTACATTATCTGTTCTTGCAGACAATTAAAAGAGATAACAGATGAATTCAGCCAATAAACACTTAGTCAAAAGTATGCGAATATACTTTGTTATATTTGTACGGCTCGTGTCAAAATATTAGGTGCATAAGTTGTTGTTTACTAAGCTGTATAAGTTACTATAGTTTTTTAATTATCCCACGGAAACTCTTTAATTTTCGGGAATGAAAAGTATCTTAGATATTGACCGGGAATATAAGGTACCACCATGCAAAATTTCATTTAAATCCGTTCAATAGTTTCGGAGATTAGCCCGTACAAACAGATAAACAGACAGAGAAACATAAAAATTGAAAGAATAACTGGATTTGTTCTATTTCTCTTATTACGGGATGTAAGAAGAGAACTGACTCGGTTTTTAGCATTTTTTTTTCTATGTACAGACGTTCGACCTCTACGGTTTTATTATAGTAGGTACCTATAGATTTCCTATATACTTTAGTAAATAATTATTATAAAAATTGAATTAATTGATTATTTCTTTAATTTTTAATTAACTAGCATAATCATATTCGTAATTTGTAATATAATATCTAACATTAATAACTTTATAACTCGAGAAACGCTGGACCGATTTTGATGATTTTTGATTTGTTGGATTGTCTCCGCTCCAAATAGCAGAATAACTATTAGAACATCAAAAAAATCACGAAAAAAAAATGTACACGGCTAACGCTGGCTAATAACTATTTATATCTATTTAAAACGTACCTAGGCACAAGTGAGCCGCCAGTAATCTATGCAGATAAAAATAAAATTGAAGTGTCTGTTTGTAATGTCAAAATAACAGCGTTTTACTAAATGCTTATGAAATTATATACGGTACTAATAAGAAAAACACAATGTTTAAAATTTTTGCCTGTTTGTCTGTCTGTTTTTTCCGGATAATCTCTGAAACGGCTGGTTGATTTTGACCAATGAAAGCATTGGAAGATAGCTGATGTTATAGGGAGTAACATAGGGTATTTTTATTTTAGCAAAAGAATTAGGGTTCCGCTCAAAAAAATTAAAACGTAAGTAGGGACGAACCCGAGCGGAGCGAGGGTGATTCGCTAGTATATAATATGCGTACATGAAAATACGATTTAAATTTTGCAACATGACCCATACACACTTCACAATTTAAATTAAATAATTTATATCAGTGATTCATAAATATATCTCCGAACCTTGAACTTTGTATAATGTAGATATCTACATACATCGTAATTCAACCGTACAACTATAATCTAACTTGTATCAAGTTAGATAACTTTGCTCTAACAGTTATCTACTCGGGTACTTATCCTGGGAACAGCTGCGATAAAGCAAATGGTGTTATAAATGAAATACTATTTATACATCAATTATAAGTTCACGTATCTCAAGTTTATTGTGTTTTCCCGTGGGAAAGAAAGATTTTCCTGAAGTAAAAGGTATCCTAAATGTTGAATCGAGTAATAAGTTAACACTTCACCAAATCTCGTTGAAATCGGTTTATAACTTTTTGCGTGAAACGCGCACACACAAACAGACCATTATATTGGGGTCTATATTGTGTACATAATATGTTACAGTCATTGTTTAAAAACATATTTAATGAAAATAATAAATAAAGATTAATAAGTAGGTACCTACAAAATATATCACGTTTTTTGTTTACAAAGTATACACTTTTAGATTTTTTTACTTGCGTTGATTGCAGTTAGATATAATTTGTTTTCTTGTGTGTTGCTCAATATTAATATTTAAAGAAAATAAATAAATATGTTATTAACACACAATACCATCTAGTTCCATGGTTAGCTACGAGGCTTGTGTTATGGACACCAGATAGTTGATACATTATACATATATAACTTTAAATACATACATATTATAAATATAAACACCCATGACTGGAGTACAAACATTCATGCCCATCACACAAATGAATACCCCAGCGGGACTCGAACCCGCGACCGCCGGCGCAGCAAGTAGGGTCACTACAAACTGAGCCAAACGTGTCGAAGAAAATGATGCTGTTTCAGAATTTTTCCGCAACTATTAATATATACCGGTGTATAAAAGAGGAAAGTAATTTAAAAGATTATTAAAACAAGAAGTACTACAGTAATGCTTATTAGATTAGTATAGTATTATGTGATTTGTGCTATTAGTCTGTAGCAAACAGACACCAAAATCCTAATATATTTCTAAGGTGCTTAAGTACAATTTTTGTTTTATTAAATCGTGTTTTTTTAAATATTTTATAGCAAAGTTCGACGTTTCAGGTAATTTGACAGTACATGGAGATATAATTACAGAATTGAATACTTTTTATACTAGCCTTCACCTGTTTAAATGGAGAACACGAAAATATTCACCAAGATACTAAATACCCAATCAATCACATAGCGATCGCTTGAAAGATGAAAGAAATTGATACGCTGCAACAGCTTATAGTGGCGTGTTAGAGCAATATGGATATTATAAGAACCCATGTAAAGTGTAAATACGTAAATTCAACATGTAAACTTATCACAACTCACTTAAAACAATCTCAATCGGTGAAAAACTTTCGAAGATTTAAAGTTTTCCACAAACAAACATTAATATTTTTATTTATAGTTATACGATCAAAAGCTACGCTTCTTTAATAAATCCCTTGTAAATATAAATAATATTTAACTGCTGTCTAAAACACATGAATGCTAAACATACTGGGTGCGTCTGCAACTCGCAAGGATATTGTATGTCAAAGCGGGATATATGCAGCATCAATTTTCTTGCGGTTTCACAACGGTTAATGAGACCTGAGATATAAGGTTTCTGTCTACATTTTGGTTAAATATAATGAAAAGCTTTTTACGAAACGGATATTTGTTGTTTTTTTTCTAAGTAATTACTTAGAAAAAACTTAATTACAACATCTGTACATACATATAATAAAACTGTAACCAAGCCGAATCTGTACATTAAATATTTTTTGGAAAATCTCATTGAAATAGACATTATTATCGATACAGAGTCCGAATCTATAGTTTTTTAGAATTTTTGTCTGTCTGTTACCGAAAACCACTGGACAGATTTTGATGAAATTTGGTATAATGAAAGCTGGTTATCCGGGTCAACATACAGGAAACTTTTTACAGCGGGAAAATATAAAATATCTCATTTCTGAGAAAAAATACAAAAACCGCATTGTAAGAGTATACTAATATGCAAAACCTAAGAATTTGGTTTTTGGTCATCTGAACGCGAGCGGAGCCGCGGGCAAGGCTAGTAAATAATATTTTTTTTAATTTAAAATGCTAAAAAGCGACAGGCAATTTATCATTTTATAAATTGAAAATTAATTTTTGATTTAATAACACATCTATAAATCTGTATGCAAATGAAGAAACCGGTAACGCTTTGGATATTTTAATTTAAGGCAGACGTAAATTGCACTTCACGTAGAAACCAGTTCTAAATGCAAAACTTTAATATAAAAAAATAAGCACTAAATACCTAGATTTGGAATATTTCACATAATAAATTGGGTTTCTTGAGTAGTATATATATTGAAAAGAAATCGATAATTAAGGTATTGTAGTGAACAGCCAGCTTTACCTGGGCGCTCGGTCTCGCGGGCCGCGGCTCGCCAACATATGATATGATCCAGGGACACTATTAATAACTCTGTTTACACGCCGCCGGCAGATAGCATTGTTTACGTTTTTACACGTTTACATTTAAAAAGTGAGAAAAGGAAGTATTAAATAAACATTTCATATAAAGATCAACAATATCTCAGTTTACTCATTTCTTAATTGGAGCTATTCACATGCACTGCACTATCTGACGAAATAAGTTTTAGATCAAAAAAATAAAATATTGCTAATATAATTTATATTTGAAAATATAACAAAAGAGGTGGCAAACGTCAAAATGTTGATTAAAAACACAAGAATGCACTCGATCTTAATCGATCAACCAATTAAACTCTTGAGAGGGATCAACGATCTCAGGTATCGTGGACAAAATTGGCAAAACCGAAATAATTTAAAGACACGTTTCGTACCTGATAAGAGTCTTTATAATAATTGTGGGGTAAGGCTATAAATCACGCGATCATATTTAAACATTCACTGCACAGATCGAGAAGGAAGACGTTTTTTTAAACGATTCCGAAAACTAAACGCGTGTCGTTTCCTTTGCGTTTGAACACAGACTGGTGAGTGCCGGGCGCCGGCTTGTCTTTGTAGTTTGAGCCTCTGCGGCGACCGCGGTACGCCGGCACTTTGGACCCTATGGCTTTGGATGAAAGATGTGAATGTGACCGGTGTTTCAGGGATATTGCAAGTTTTAGCAACATTTTGTTCGGGAGAATATGATGGAATGAAATTTTATAATGTGGTAAAGACTGGTCATTATGTGTAATGATATTAATATAAAAAGGCATATAAAAGTTCTGCGGTTCTTATTTGAAGAAAATTCGAGTAATCATCTTCCATAATTTTATATATTTTGTGAGAAGTAGGTATTTGGTTTTATGTAAGTATATCATTAATGATATACTTACTTACTTACTTAATTTACTTGGTATCATTATTTATAAGCGATCCGTCCTCACTCGGCTTCGACCACCGATATATTTCAAAAGTTCTAAATATTTCTATCCACTTTTTACCATTAATCTTTTCGGGGACCTTGACCGTCTTAATTAAGGTCTAATTAAGTCGTATATGAACTTTGGTTTCGGGTAAAATAAATAAACATAATAAAATTTGAAATTAGACTAAGCAAATACAGCACGAATTGGTTTTTAAAATTAATAAAAACCTTTTAAAAAGATAAATAAAAACCGACTTCCAGGCGCTGAAAAGTAAAAAACAACCAAACAGGGGTTGGATTCCTAATCAGATATTTTCGAAGTCGGTGTGATTTGGCTCAGACTTCCAAAATGTAGTATTTTGGAAGTCGGAGCCAAATCACACCGACTTCTTCCACAAAAAAAGAATCGTCAAAATCGGTTCATAAACGACGAAGTTATCCGCGAACACACTTAAGACATATATATATATATATATATATATATATATATATATATATATATATATATATATACGGTCGAATTGAAATCTCCTCCTTTTTGGAAGTCAGTTGATAAAGTAAAATACTTAGTTTTGTGGATCAACTACATTTAATCCAGTAAGAAAAAATAGTCCGAATTAGCGTTGTCCAATTTCTTTGTATGGGGTGGGGCATCTTTTCTAGTATATTATGTCGAAGTAGAGATAACCGAACTAAAACAATTCAATTATTAATTAAATCCCTCTCTTTTATTATTGTTAATCTTCGATCAACAGGAGTATTGTTGATCGAAGTTGTTAATACTATTTTTCGTAACTCTTTAAGAGAGCTAGTAATCATCAACTATCACGCACGGAAGCAGCGGAAAAAAAGAGCTAATATTCCCTTCTACCGCTAATATACAACTTTTAAATAATAATAATATAATAAATACGTTGAGACATTAACACACAGCGCCATCTAGTTCCATGGTAAGCTACGAGGCTGTGTTATGGATACCAGATAGTTGATACACTACACATATATAACTTTAAAATACATACATATTATAAATATAAACACCCATGACTGGAGTACAAACATTCGTGCTCATCACACAAATGAACCAGCGAGACTCGAACCCGCGACCGCTGACACAGCAAATAGGGTTACTACAAACCAAGTCAAACATGTTATCAAAAGTTTAAGTAGTACCTAAGTAATTTTTAACTTTATTGTTAATGTTAATATTTTCTATTCTCAACTATTTCATTACTTGTATCGTACAAAATTAATTAATATACGAATTTACTAACAAAGTGGTAATCATTAACTCATTGCTGTTATTTATTACAAAACAATAAATTATTAAATTAATATTAGTAGCGCCAACTAATAGCGTCATTTATTCCAAGTTCTATTAGGAAATAAATCATCCACCATTTTTCCATAAATGTTAATTAAATATGATATAATAGGTTCACAACATAATTTATAATTTAATTTAAAAGAAAGTGACAATTGCCAACTAATTATATATTATCTATACTAATATTATAAAGAGGTAAAGTTTGTGAGTTTGTGAGGTTGCAGGGGGTAATCTCTGGATCTACCGAAATGATTCAGATGAAATTTGGTAAGAAGATAGTTTGAGACCCTGGGAAGGACATAGGATACTTTTTACCCGGAAATCATCCATTAAGGGGGTGAAAATGGGGATTAAAGTTTATATGAGGAATCAGCCTAGGGACGAAGCTGAGCGAAGCAAGGGCGAGTCGCTAGTTAAAAGGTGGTGACAACATATAGCGACACCTATCATCTCGACCGACCATATATCAAGGAATAACAATATATAGGACATGACATTAAAATTAATATAAGAAACCATTTTTTTACCACAAATAAAATAAAACTCCAATATAATTTCTTAAAATTTATTTTCTATGCAACATAAAAAAATATCCATCGTAGTTACAATAAATTATCGTCACTTAATGCGAAATAAACGTTTGAAATCAATTCGTGAACTCAATCAGATGCCGATACAAAGTAAATCGCGGTACACTCACACTTTGTCATGAGTCACTTATAAATAAATGCAATACAGATTGTAAAATTTCAAACTAACAATAAGTAATGATAGAGACACCAGGCGTCACTCGGTTCCACGATCTTTCTAAAAATGTACCAATAATAATAATAATAATATTACTACATTTATTCACTCAAGTTATTATATATATATATATATATATATATATATATATATATATATATATATCTTTATACTCACGTGTTGAGATGACCGCACACTGGTGTCTTTATCGAAACTTTTACATCTATTTAATTAAATTCACTAAACATTCGAGAAACAACTATTGCAATTTATTAAGAGCTATATATCGTAAGTCACCAGATGTCGTCACACGCGGCCTGAGCCGGACCAATAATTGTCATGTTTTATTATATAAAATTAATAATTCGGCATAAATAGAAAAGTTTTGTGACACTAAGAAGGTCTACTAATATATGTAAATGCAGACATTGTGCATACGAGAGCTGGACACAAGAGCTGCGAACTCGCTATCCGACGACGTAAGGCAAGTGTCGACAACCGGGTTCTGTTGCAAGGACAACTATAAAATGAACACATATACAACGTTTAACTATTAGGGAAGGCAGTGATTGTATATCACCGTAATTTTATTGAAATAACAATTTAACGCCATTTTGAATGTCAACAATTCGTGTGTTTATTACAACGGTTTAATAAAGAAGCGAGTAAAGACGCAAATCGAACGATGCTATACTATAGTTAATTATTAATATATATTAAATTCTTATTACACAATAGACATGATAGATTCTTAACAAACAACTTATAGGGGCTAACAGTGCTCGAACTTACGCAAGCTCCAATGAGAACAATACGAGTGGCAAAATATATAGATTCTAAACTAAATGCGAACAATTTTGCTGTATTGAAGGCTCGCGTCGGTCCAGTTTTAAAAACATTGTCCAGATTACATCTGACCGACGCGCGGTGAGGGGGGCTTCACAAATAAACATGGTCTTACCGTGGAATGTATTATAGGACCCGACACCTTTCAGGCGCTCAAATAAATAAATAATTAAATATCCATGTATATATACTAAATAAATATAAAACACTGTCGACAAAACGGAACGATCGCACGTTGTGTTTGGTCGACAGTGTGCTGGGAGGGTAAGTAAGTAAGAAGTTGTAGCGACAAGCGACTTAGCTGCCTAACATTAGATAACACGAGACCCTTAACACTAACACGAGATACAATTCAAATACATGGGATCGAAGTTAAGGTGGCGTTACACTGTAGATTAATTCAATTAAAAAAAAATGGGATTTTTTTTCAGTTTATACTTAACTAATGCAACAATGTAACCCCATCTACGTCCAATAAACAACCGGAGTGCATGCAACATCGTAAAGCACTGGTACCGTCGAGGATTAAAACTGGAAACATCAACTTGTCATAACATATAGTTAGTGAGGTGCTAAAATATTAAAATGGGATATAAAAAGCCTTAATTTACTATCACTAGCGGGGAAATGTAACGCGAATGGAGACATAACGACTGATCGCACTGTCGAGTCCCCCGTGCCAGCGCAAGCTGTAATGTATTGCGATGTACAAGGCGGAGTACCCTCGGGTACGACAGTGTAAAAATCCATACAGTGGGCTATTTTTAAGCTGTCAAACGTCAAAAGTCAACTGTCAAATGCAAGGGCTGTCAAAAATACCAATCTTCATAGTGAATTACTAATTCACTGTGGCGTCATCTCGTGACATTTTTCAGTTATAAACGTCAGCCCTGAAGTAGTTTTCCGACTGACATATAAAAGTATGAAGTCGGGTGACCGCTCCTCCCCTACAAAATTGCTGTCTAGACGCTCGTTAGACGCCTGTATGGATGAGTACACTACGTGTACCGCGTACGGCGAGGACACGCGCTCGGGACAGACGGCGGCGCGACACGACACCAACGCTTCGATCACCCGCAAAGCACCAACGTCGCCCGGTGGTCAAACCGCATTTACAAAAATACTCCTTTCATTTATCCATTTTTCATTTATATAGGAAAATATATATTTTTTTTTTAATACGCGTAACACTATTGTGGACTTCGGTAGGAATTATTCGGGATATAACGTCACGTGGGGTGGCTGTTTCATGTTTGTGCTGATAAAAATAATTCACGCTTATGAATACTTTTGTTTTAAAGTCTAGACGTAATGTAGGTAATTTATGTATATAATAGGTAAGTGATAACGTGTGCACTATTGAAAATGACCGTGAAACGCATTTAAGCTAATATATTTGCTCTACATAGAAGAATAATCGTCAAAATTGATAATTTTAAATATTAAAATAGTACTAAAATATAATTTCTCGTGGTCCTAGCTTTGTAGACGAAGATATAAGTATAGAAAGATATGCATTCGATATAAAAAATAAACGCGACAAGTGTGTGCCAGGTAATGAGTAAATAACGATCAACGTTATATAATAATTTTATATATTATGTAAAGGCAAAATACAATCGCCATACAAATACCATAGAGTAGTTACAACAGCGAGTCTGACCACCGGCATCCAGAGCGATTCGTTTTAATTTTAATCAAATACCTTATTCTGTGACAAAAATAGCATTTCTTATATTCCAAGTGTTCGCGATCACCGCGCCCTAAACGTTACATTTAATTGATATCGAGCCAAAACCCACTCCTACATCTAATTCTAAACATAAAGGGTACAGGCAAAGAACAGAGAATTTTCTAATGTATAGATTATGAGAAAAAATCAATTTAAAGTTTAGAAGTTATAATATTTTTATTGAGTTCAAAGTGTGCAGTAATTTTTTAATATGTATATTTTTGGAAGTAGGATTCTACTTCTTTGCCGATATGTTATGGACATTCAACGTTCTTTTTACTTGAGCATAGATAAAAACGTATTTTTAGAGACATCCGTTGAGTATTAGTAAAAACCAGTAGTTAGGAATACAATTACCATAGACATAGATCTGTTAAAAGTACAAAACAAAAAAAAAAACAAAAATTGAGACATTCCCTGTTCTTTGAAAGTCCTGAACCCTTCAAATGTTAAATCACTTTTCAAACGTTGATGGAGATTCTAAAGAGATATTCGGTTTACACATTCGACTTTAGTGTCAGGTTATGAGGACTATAAGTTAAAATTGTTTACTTAAAATCAGTCTTAAACAAACCAAGCATTGAAATGATGGCGGCCATTTTGAGATTCTTTATAATACTTGTATAGATAATAGAAACGAAATGGTTTTAATAATGCGACGAGTATAAAATACCTAATAATATATTGATAGGTTCTTAACATGAACTGAGATTCGATAATATAATGAGGAAATTGAAATATATCAGGCGACTATAAAGAACCTCTCGCTCGAAAGTATTTTCAATGGCAAAGTTGGTACAATTGAATAATCGAAAATGTGACATTATAAAAAACCTACTTAATTTCTTTATAGCCGTCAACACTGACACCTCGGGGCCGATAGTGGGGGCTCGTTTGACCCTACACTAGCGACCCTTACCAACAAATAAATTTAAGCTAAACAATAATATACATATATATATATAAGAGCCGAACAAACAATCGAGATGCGTGGCAGTTAAAGTGAGATTGCATATTTTTATACACATAATAATTTCGCTGCCAGAAATACTGTACATAGAAAATTAGACGGCAATCGAGTTATTCGGATATTAAATAAAATCGATTCTCCGGCCTCACACAATTACACAACTACCGTCATTTTTAAAGTTATATTACATAACATACAAAACATATGTTACGTCTACATACAATAAACTAAAATACATATATATAATTTGCACATTAACAGTAATAAACACTGTATTATGTGAAATGTCGGTCGGAGTGTTGAGCCTAGTTTAGATTAAGACACTACACACGGTACACTTAGTGTATACACCGACTGTCCTTGTGTCAACGAGGATGTCTCTAATAATGCAATTTATTGCGACACGTATCAGCGATTGTGTACGTTGCGTTCAAGTATCACGTGTGCTTGAAAGTATTTGAACAGGTTCAACTTTTTCAATACACCGCATCGCTTCGAACATAGTACTTACAACTGAGTTTCGCGTGGAGCAGAGTGTGAACAGCTCGGACACAAAATCCGTAGATTTATTTCCATCCACTAATATTTCGTAAAAGTGTAAACAGTATAGAAATTAACATCAGACATCTATGTCGCAATCAGTGTCGTAGTCTAAACTCGGCTTTACATAACATATAATGAATTATATGTTACAGATGAACTAAAACGTGGTTGACATAGCTGGAGCTACACGTAGGTGGGCGGCATGGCGGCGGGCGGCGGCAGCGCGCGCGCGCCCGGCACGTACTGCCCGATGAACGACCCGTCCTCCGTGAAGCGACCTGCAGATATCGTTACGATAGTTATATAGTAAATTAAAAACAAAAACAAATCCCACGGGAAACATTTTTCCGGGATAAAAAGTATTGTGCTATTCCAGACTATAATCTATCTCTGTGCCAAATTTCATCTAGATCCGTTCAACCGTTCTGGCGTGATTGAGTAATAAATATCCATCCAAACTTTTGCATTTGTATTATATTGTTTACTTGTATTATTCAGCGCTTTTTAACGTCCCACTGCTGGGCACGGACCTCCCTTCAGTACGAGGGGGATCAGGCCATAGTCCACCACGCTGGCCAATGTTATGTTGTGTTATGTTCTTTATGTTTTCCTTCACCATAAGGCAAGTGGTAACCATGTTGGAAATTGGATTACCAAGCAAACACGTTACCACTGGACTTGACTTGCCTTTAAGTTTTCCATTATTAGAATTGGAGATTATTAAAGTTCATATATAAATTATTATAATACATTTTAAATGAAACGGTTTATTCGGATTTTTTCGTGGTTATATTTTGGTTTTTTATAAGTTCTGCATATTTTACAGCGAACATGCTGATGGAGAAGTTTACAAACGATCTATGTAATAACTTTATAATAACGTTTGAGATATGAAAAATCTTAGTTTCTCCTGTTTGCTTCCAAGCATTCGAAACGTTTAAAACAAAAAAAACCGCGAAGAAACCATACGCATCTGAACAATTCATAATAGCAAAAAAAAAAAGAAAAAGTTAAGAAATAATAAATAAAAAAAAATAAAGCAACAAAAATCATACCTCACAAAAACAAAAAATAAAATGGCGGCTCGTACGGGGAAAGGAAGGACGGACGGATGGGTTGATTTATGCATATTAGAACAATAAATGCAAACCACTATAAAACGTAACACAAACATCGTGCTTATAAAATATACTATATAATAAACATTCACTGCAACTCACTCTATAATATAATAATATCAAATATCTTTTTACAAACTAATGCTTCTAACGTGTACTTGACACTTAACCTATTTATAAGAAAACGCCTTGCGAGTGTGAACATGCCTTTATTAAAACTATTTTTGAAATAGTACAATAAAGGCTTCGCCCAAACGAATAAACAATCGCGAGATCCTAACAGAACCGGACTGAAATGAACGAAAGTGTGGGCGTCCTCACGTACGGACCGATCGATGCGAAGACCGAACGTCTACGAAGATCGAACGTCTACAAAGATCGAACGTCTACGAAGATCGAACGTCTACGAAGATCGAACGTCTACGAAGATCGGCTATAAATGTGATGCATGGCACTACGTTTTATTTTGCAAACGTATAGCTTTGTGCAGCCTATTTATTACAGATCGTAGGGTACATGATTTTTAATTAAAAAAAAAATAAGACTTGAAAAAAATATAAGTAATGCGTATTAATTGTACAAATGAGAAATTAACGAGTAATATGAATTTAATTTAAGTGATTTAAAATTATATGTACCCTATCGATGAGGTTTGGTACTAGGGTAGCATAGCTGTAGGGGATGTCACGCTACAGATTGGTGGGTGTTGGGGGGCAAGGGGGCTACCGTGGGAGGGGGTGGGGTGTGGTGGGGTGTTAAACGAGCGTAGCGAACGCTTGCGAGGCGGAGTCGGGCTGACCGGAGGCGGGGGGGCGCCGCTTGCGCCCGTACTGCCCGATGAACGACCCGTCCTCGTTCATGCCCGCTGCAATACCATGCGGACATACACACACACACGTTACGACACATGCTCAACAGAAATATGAATTGACAATAAAATGGATGGCAAAATAATAATTATATTGAATATTAAATAATGATAAAAATAAAAAAAACTGAGGCTTTGTAACGCGCACAGAAATAAAAAAAACATGCGCAAAAATTAAAGAAAATTGATAAAATGCATTCATGCTGCACAGATTACGAAAATTAGAAAATAACAATGAATATAAATGGTTCGTACCTGTTTCTCCCTCGCCATATTCAGCCATAGAGTCGGTATCGCTCTCTGGGCCTGGTTTAGTACCGCTGCTCATGGAATGCCGCGATTTGTTGTCCAATCTGCGAAATACAATAATTGTACAAATTATTACAGCTTTTTTAAAAACAAATTAACAATTATCTTGTAAATCTATGCCTATTTTGATATTTTCTATTTCTTAGTGAATAAAAATGATGTATAGTTACATTTTTTTTTCAAAAACCAATTAATATGCGTGCTCATATTTTTTCCATTAAAAATTATTATATAAATTCTAAACGAATCTCGAGCGTCACCAAAAAATCATAAATATTAATTTAAATTCCCGCAAAAAAACCGGCTGTATACCATTAAGTATAAGTCAAAGTAAAAAAAAAACCGGACAAGTGCGAGTCGGACTCGTAGGTAGGAATACATAGGTCACTCAACTTTTTTTATTTTTTGGAATTTTTCCTTTATTTGTGCTGGAAGACCTTGCTTTTTGCCAAATTTCGTGATTCTAGGTCAACAGGACCTACCATATAGGTTTACGACCCAAAACCTATAGGGTACTTTCGGTTGACCTAGAATTAAAGGGAAGTAAAGGAAAATTCCGAAAAAAAAAAAATTAGTTGAAAACTAAGGTAATTTTTGGTACTTATAAGTTTACGCGAAAATTTAAATTTGCCCATATCTTTTCATCGTGTTTAATCAGGACCTTGCTTTTTATACACCTAATAGGGACTATAGACCTCAGTATCTGATATAAATTTCAACTTGCTAGGTTCACCCGGTCTTGAGAAAATCGGTGGTGACACACGGACATACAGACGGACAAGAGAGTGTTCTTATAAGGGTTCCTTTTTTTATCTTTTGAGGTAAGGAACTCTAAAAAATCATAAACATTAATTTAATTCCCGCAAAAAAACATTCCGGCTGTATACCATTAAGCATAAGCCAAAGTCAAAGTAAAACAAAAAAAAACCCAAAAAAAAACAACACGACTAACGGGTGAGTGTACTCGTGGAAGGCCGCGTCGGGGCAGTCGGCGCGGCCGTGCGCCAGCTCGCGGTCGTGCACGTCGTACTTGCCACCGCGGTTGCGGCGCGCCACGCACACCAGCACCAGCACCAGCAGCAGGAACGCCAGCGCCACCATCACGCCGATGAACCAGCCGGCAGTGGCCGTCGCCTCCTCGCGCGGACGCACGCGCGGATCTGCAATACCAACACACAATACTATATACATCCATCTATCTATAGTAATATAATATTACTAGCGACTCACCCTCGCTTTACTCGGGTTCGTTCCTAGCTTGCTCCCCGATACAAACTTTCAACCCTATTTTAACTCCCTTAATAGATGATTTCTAGAAAAAAAGTCCTATGTTCTTCCCAGGGTCTCAAACTATCTTCTCACCAAATTTCATCTAATTCGGTTCAGTAGATCCAGAGCGTCGCCAGAACCTCACAAACGTTACCTCTTTATAATATTAGTATAGATTAATATATGTAGCGGAATGTATAAACAAACTACGCGATCAAAGCCTCGAGCAAAAACTAGTACATTATAAAGTAAACATATTATCCTATTAACAAAAGTGGTTCGATCTTTTCTTCATATATTATTTCATTGAAATTAATATTTAGATCAAATGTTACTACTTTATAAATACATACAAAAAAAACCTTCCACTCACCAATATTAGTATCGACCAGTTTAACTTCACTAGTGCTAAAGTACTCTCCATCGTGAGCTGTTACTTTCACCTCATACTCTTGCCCCGGTTCCAGTCCCGTTAGAATCACGTAATCGTCTTCCGTTACTTCATTACTTTGTAACCACTCAGGATGCCCCTTTAACCTGTACCAAGCTACAAAATGGCTGCCAGAGTGACCATCAAAGGATGGTATCCACCGGACCAATATATGAGCAGTTCCCTCTTTAGCCGGCAATGTGCTGGTCTCAAAAACTGGTATATCAGGAACCGCGTTCACCATCGCTTTGGTCGTTTGCTCAACATAATACTTATCTCCTTCTCCTGCTTTGGTTTTCGCGCGTATTTCAATTCTATACTTAGTGTTAGGCTCCAGTCCTGCCAACTTTGCGCGGTCGAATTTAGGATCGATTTCCTTTTTCCTCTCTTGCAAAGGACCCAAGGCGGTGCCGGTGACTTTTTGGTAGTATATCTTATAGCCTGTGAGGATACCATTTTCATCTAATGGTTTATCCCATTTTAGTAGCATAGCTGAGGAACCGATTGGATGCGCTTCGAAAGATCTGACAGTTCCAGGTTTGCCTTCCGGTGTAACAAAACTGAGGCTTTCGCTTGGTGGTCCATTGTACCTTCCGTTGTATACTAGAATTCGTGCATTGTTTTTCCTGAACGGCTTGAATTTAGAAACTAAGGCACTAGACGCGTCTGCTTTAACTAGGATTTCCTTAGGCCTGTCCTCTTCGCCATCGATCCATGTTTGTATCTTGTATCCTTTAAAGTGTCCTCGGACTGATTCAGGTGGTACCGGGTTCCAGCTAAGTAGGGCAGTAGTGCCTGTGGTCACTTGCACGAGGGTGAAGTTCATGGGCGCTTGGAGGGGTATATCTTCACCAGACCATCCGATCACTTCTACTGGTGCTACGTTTGAAGTACCTTTGGAGTTTACGGCGATAACCTGTAGGTAAAAATGAGTTATTTGTAAATAAAATGTTTACTTTTTAAATTGTAATTCAATTAGATTAGAACATTCAACATAAAACTGTCAACTGTCAACACGAAAATAGAAAACCATGAAAGGGAACGGTACCGCAGATAGTGGGATCAAAACATTTATTTGTAAACAACAAAATATCCATAAAATGAAAAAAAAAACACAAAATATGGATTTTAACCATATAACAATAATATTGTACATGGTCAGGATAGTGAGAAATAAAAAAAAAAGTTCAACCATGTTTATGGTGTAGTAGAAAAAAGTAATAAAAGTGACACGTCTTAACCGCAAAAGTTGTACCACAAACGAGCGTGTCAAATGTTAATGATGCGAAAATTATGGTATATACAAAAAAAATCTTTAAAAATAAGGGTAATCAAATTAAAAATATTTTTTTAACAATGTTATTTTTCAGCTTTATTGCATTTTCTAAAATTAAAAAAAAGCGAAATGATGATAATCCTAATCTTGATCTTGTAATGACCTTAATCTTGTAGGGCTGGAACGTGGGCGTGTCGGGCACCACGTACTCCGTCTGCCGCCAGTCCAGCACCTGCGCGTCGCTCCAGCGGTGGCCCGAGATGTTGCGCCGCCACGACACCGAGTAGTAGAAGCCCGGCCCGTTGTGCTCGATTTGTGGCATTTTCTGTCAACAGGTTTTAATTAAGTACTAATATAATAAAGAGAAAACAAAAAGTTTTTTAGACTAGACGGGGTTTTGTCAAAAAATCTCTTTTCGTACAATTACATGGCTAACGTTGGCTAAACCTTTTGAGATAAATCAAAACAATGTACTATAAAATTGTAGGTCTTAAAAAGACCCGTAGAAAACTCCGCGATAGCATGTGTCTATCTCCTAGTAAGGTGCGCTCACAATAACTATTTTTATCTATATATTAAACGTACCTAGGGACGCACCCGAGCGAAGGTAAGTAATATATAAGTTTAAACAAACCTGCAAACAATACGTACTAAATATAATTGTCGTAAACAAATTAAGTAATCAAAATCATAACTTACCGACCAAGATATGACCATATTCTTAGGATCTCGTCCCTTGCCCTCGACGTTATCGGGGTTCTTGTAGGGCACGTCGGGCTGCGTGGTGCACACGTCCGAGTGGGACGAGGGGGCCGATGGGCCTATTTTGTTCCACGCGATAACCCTAAAGGCGTATCGAATAACATTTGTTAAAAATCATTATAATATTATAGTTATAGATATGTATATTGTGTAATTATTTCAAATAGTTACATAAATTGCAATTTAATGTATAATTGCTGTAAACTATTAAAACATTGACAACCATAAATCACAATAAATGCGCGAAAAGATGGTTTTATTTAAAAAGTCAAATTTTAGTTTAAATTTTAAATTTCAATTCATTCATTCTTTAAAATTAATATATAATTGTAACAGTAGTTTACTATAATTGTTGTTAAGCGTTTAAACGTTGAAAAACAAAAATCAAAATAAATCATCGAAAACATAATTTTATTTCGATAATCAATATTTTTTTTATGTTTTTGTTTATTGTTACAATCTGTTGTAAGTTTGAGCAATAGCCTTGCGTCACCTGAAGGTGTAGTTGGCCCAGGGGCTGAGCTCCACCGCCCAGGAGGTGTCGATGGCGGGCACGGCGTCGCTGGCCAGGTCCCAGGCGTCGGGCGTGAAGGAGGTGTTGTACTGTATGGAGAAGCGCAGCACCGGCGCGCGGTTGTCGCCCATGGAGTGCCAGCGCAGCGTCGCCACGCGCTCGTGGCACTCGATGCCGTCCAGCGCCGGCGGGTTGGGCTTGTCTATAGGATGGGGTTTTATTTTATTTTTTTATTTAATCATTTATTTCAGGCAATATTTACAAAAAGATCTTAAATATGTAAACAGAGGCCCATTTATGTAATAAATATATACTCAACCATATACAACTACTAGCTTGCTTGCTTGCTTCCCGATACAAACTTTTATCCCCATTTTCACCCCTTACGAGATGATTTCCGGGAAAAAAAGTATCCTATGCTCTTCCCATGGACTCAAACTATCTTCTTACTAAATTTCACATAAATCAGTTCAGTAGATCCACAGATTACCCCCTACAACGTGACAAACTCACAAACTTTACCTCTTTACAACATAAAGTATAGAATATAGATAGGATAAAAACAAATCTATCCCACGAGAACCGTATATTTTTTCCAGGATGATATATAGCCTTCCTCAATAAACGGGCTATCAAATGCAAAAAGGTTTTTTTTAAATCGAATTAGTAGTTCCTGAAATTAGCGAGTTCAAACAGACAAACTCTGCCTCTTTATAATATTAATATAAATTTCAATTATGACATAACTTAATAACAATAGTAATTATTATATTTTTAAATTATTTCTGTTATTTTATTTATATTTGAGGTACTGCATTAAACTTGTTTCATTATGGAAAAATAATTTCCTTCACTCCATTCATTCATTTAATTATATAAATATGTGATTATAACATATGTTTCAAATACCAAGAACATAACCATGAATGTACTATTTTGAACCAGTTTACCTCACAATTAAATACCACAAATACCAACCACTCAACGAAAAAAGCGACAATAAAACCCAATCACTCCTGTACACATATCTAGAACAACGTTGAACACAACACTAACCTTGCACAGTGAGAGTTGCTTGTGCCCGAGCCTCGTCGATGGCCGTCCTTGCGATACAGGTGTACTCGCCCGAGTCCAGCTCGGTGGTGTCGGATATGAGCAGCGAGTAGTCGTTGGTCATGCGGAAGCGCGGCTGGCTGTCGAAGTCGATGGGCTGGCCGTCGTTGAGCCAGATGATCTCCAAGTGAAGTGAGTCGTCAGCGTTGGCGTTGCAGCGGAACGTTGCGGACGCACCCGCTGCGACTTCATAGTGCTCCGGCTTGTCCGTTATCACTGTGCGCTCTGGAATATTTTGGAATGGTTTTTGGTGTTTAATATAACAATTGTTAAAAGTATAGTTTATTCAGTAAGATTTTTACAATTAGTAACTAATAGTCTGCGGAATTTAATTTGAAAAATTATATACATGTGTATATACACAGTTGGTCTGAATTACAGTATTCTTATTATGAAAAAGTATAAATAACATCATATTTTTTTATGGATTAGAAAGATATTTATTTTCATATCTACGCATTAATCTATATATTGCACAAAAACACAATTTTTAGTTCAATAATCAGTAAAAAAAATTAAAAATATGTAATACTAACATGATTGTTAGGTAAAAAAATACTTAATTATGAACACATAATATACTCACTTTTAACAGTAAGAGATCCAAAAGCAGATTTCTCACCAAATTTGTTCTTAGCATAACACTGGTAAGTGCCCACATCCGTGTAAGAAACATCGCGAATAACTAAGTCGCCTTCAGATGTTATGTTGTATCTGTAAAGGGGCAATAAAAAATATTTTTAATACGCTTTATTTTTATTTTATTTATTTAAGGTCTACCAGCAGTTTTACAATTATTTAAAACTAGCACTATAATTAATATATATATATATATATATATATATATATATATATATATATATATATATATATATATATATATATAACATTGTTAAATGGTAAATCTATATTAAGGTTAACACAACATGCTTCAGAAATACAACAACAAAGAAGAAGAAAAAATAATACATTAAATGTGCTTATTTGCTATTTGTAAAAGTTGATACAAAATATTCTTATTATACAGCGAAGAGTTAAAAATGTCAAGTGAGCCACTGCATTGATTGAATATTTTTGTTATACGCGGTATAGTGGAGTTCGCTCCTAGCATCGTTTTTCTAGACATAATATGAAAAGGCTTAATCACACCACGAGGCAACCGAGGGGGAGACATAAAAATTGAACAACTGCAGGAGATGAGGACAATCTATTTCATTACGACATATTTTGAAAAGGAACATCAAATCCAGCAATATCTCTTCGAACAGTTAGTGACACCATTTTAAAATATTGAAGTCTGCTGTCATATGTTAGTCTTATCTGTATGTTTGTAACGGAATATTTGAACGCGATTTTGACCCACTTCAAAACTTCAGATTGAACTGAAACTTTGCACATTTAACAAGGATTGATGACAATTCAATAAATATAAAAAAAAACTTTAAGGCTAACTTAACACGCTTTAATAATGAACCGAACTAAGAAGTAAAAAATAATTTTTAGTTTAAGAAGTAAGTGATTAACGGGAAAATTAACTTTATTGTGAAAAAGCGTGGGGCGCTCTATATCAGTTGCATTAAATATTCCATTGGTACGATTTCTAAAAGTAGAGTTAGTATAAAAATATTGTACAAAGCACCCCACGCTTCTTTTACAATTACATTAATTTTCTCGTTAATCATATTATTCTTATACTAAAAATTATTTTTTACTTTATATTATTACTCCTAAATTAATATACAGCGCCGGCCTTGGGGTAGAGCTTAGAGGAGCGGACTCTAGGCGCCAGCCAGGTGGCAAGGCATCACCTTACTGCTTATTTGTTCAAACTTTTTAATGGGCCTTTTCAGTGTAATAATCGGCGCTTAATTTAAATTCAATAAGAGTTGATTTTTGCAAAAAAGTAGATTTTTGAAAATGTTCATAATTATTATTTATTAAACGTCAACCAAAACGGTGCTGAATGACACTGTCTCTGTACCCTGTTGAAGGGTTCAGCAAATATATATAAAAGTAAAAATATATATAATAAAAGGGTGCTAATATAGCGATATTCCCTTCTGTATTCCTCTTTGACGCCCTTTTCCTAAAGAAGTATACTGATAGAAAGAAAATAACAATACTAGTCTCAGTGTGGGTGTCGATACCACAAACCACCTTACCACATCGAAACCGCAACACCTATTTTTCACAACACAATCAAATACGCAAACGTGAATGATACAAATACAGTGTATTTGGACAGCTTCTGACGTTACATTTTAATTAGATACCTACTGAGTTTCGCAATTTTCAAATCTCCGCACAAATTTAAATTCTTTTATTTTTAGACATTATACACCAATAGATTCAGAAGATACTATTTGGACCAAATATATGCGACCCTAAAATGCATATGTTAGGACCTAAGTCAAACATGGTCGCTTGTATAAATTTATTGTATTTTTCAATAGATTTACTAAAAGAAATATTACCAATAAGCATGGTGAGACATAATACTTTATTAGGTTTTCGCGAATATTTGACATTACAAATAAAACTATCTTTTTGGTTCCCGACGTTTCTACTATATAATGCCTTTGTGACATCTAAAACCTTAGTCTTTCCCTTGGCCATGATTGCTGTAATGCATTCGAAACGTCGGGAACCAAAAATCAAAATAAATCCGCGAAAAAATCCGAAAAGATAGTTTCATGGTGAGATATATCAAATTTAAATCAGGCTAGTTTTAATGTGTTAGGGCGTGGGCGGCAGAACAATGGTTAGATCAATAATTATGTCAGTAACCGCACCAATGATGCTATTTCGGTTACATGGGCGTTATTATTATATTCTGTTATTCTATTTTCTATAAACATGTATTTATCCATTATTAAGCTATAACTGTTAGTACTAAAGACGTGATAATATAGCTCCTGCGGTTAAACTAGTCTTGCTCTTTCCAGATTTATATTCCAGATATATATCCGCGGGTTAGTAAAATACTAGCAGAACCCGCGGCTTCGCTCGCGCTAAATAAAACTACAATGAAATCTGTAAAAAGATAGGTTTCATACAAACTTTTATCCGGTATTATATACTCCCTTATGGGACGAATTTTGAAAAATGCTAAAACACGTATTTAATTGTATTGAAGAGCATTAATACAAATTTTAAGTAATTTTGATCATAAATAATTTTTTGGGTTGTATTATAACGTGTTTTCCCGTGGGAATGAGATAAGCTCGCGCGGTAAAAAGTAGCCTATGTCACTCTCCAGCCTTCCAACTATCTCCACTAAAAAAAATCTCGCCAATCCGTCACTCAATTTCGACGTCAAAGAAGGACAAACAAACAAACAAACAAACAAACAAACACACTTTTAAATATCTATATACATAATATGTATATCCATACTACCATAGTTCCATACTAATATTATAAGCGTGCTCATACACTTATTTTTTGTTATTTATTAATATTATAGTTTTAATTGATTTAATATTAATATATTATGCTATTATTTTTAAGAGTCGTGACTCGTGAGCATATAATTAAATATTCGTGGCCGTGAAATATTTCAGTGTATTAACCCCATAATTTAATCATAAATTATGTAAAATGCAATATCATTAACAATATAACACAGAAAAATACAAATTCCATAAGCGTTTTTACATTTATTTAAAACTAGCGAGTTATACTCGCTACAATTGAATGCTTCCTTGGGTACCTTTTTGTAGGTTAACGATTTCAATTAAAGTTATGATTTCTGACACTAAACAAACTTTTAAGCAATAAAAAATAGTCTATAGTATTCAGCGGTAATGAACCTTTCTATTAGTAAAAGATTTTTTTAGAATCGGGTCAGTGGTTTCAGAGATTATCTCTTACATACATAAAATCTAACAAACCTTACCTCCTCATATGATATTTATTTGGATAATTGTTTTAAAAATGATGGTATAACAATAACACTACAGGACTTAAAACGCGCGAATTCGTTAGTGGCTATATGGCTTATAGTGGAATTAGTTATATAGCCATTAACGAATTCACCCGTTTAAGCCCCGTAGTGTTTTTAAATAAAATAAAACTGTCTTTTCGGATTATTTCGCGGATTTATTTTGATTTTTGAAAATAATAGCAAAAATTAAATAAATAATATTTAATTATAATTAAAATTATAAAAATGTTTAAAGTTAAAAAATATTGTAATGTAATTGGTGCAATTTTCATTTTGTTAATTGTGGGTAGGCTGTCTGTAACAACTATATAATACCTTAGAGACATCTAACACCTCAGTCTCTCCCGTGACCATGGATGCTGTAAAGCATTCGAAACGTCGGGAAACAAAAATCATTTTATTTTATTTAAAAATGTCAAACATTCGCGTAAATCTAAGAAAGTATTACCCCGTAGTGTTGATTATTACATAATTATGGAACGCGAAAATATAAAAAGTTATACAAAAACGATTGTTACTCACTTGCCACCTGTAACATCCACGTCGTCCCTCATCCACCTTACGATAGGTTTGGGCGCGCCGAACACTCGACACTTCAGCACAGCCTCGGACCCGTCAACTTTAGTCAAATTTTCTGGCCCTTCCTTAATTTCTGGCGGTATGGCTAAAAAAATAAAATCGATTTTTATATTAAAAAAAGTAAAGTTTATTTAAATTTGAACCATAATTTCAACATTCAAGCTCATAAAATAACGTAACAAAAAACGTGTTATAATATCAGCTCACACAAAAAAGCTTTCCATACATATCTTCTATTTTTGCTGCACGCAATATTTTTTTTATTAGAAAATATAAATACTAGCGGCCCACCCTCCTTCGCTCGGGTTCGCCTCTAGAAAAACAAAAACAAACCTATCCCACGGGAACCTAACATTTTTCCGGGATAAAAAGTAGCCTATGTGTTATTCCAAACTATAATCTATCTCTGTGCCAAATTTCATCCAGACCCGGTCAGCCGATATGGTGTGATTGAGTAACAAACATCCATCCAAACATTCAAACATCTAAATTTTCACAATTGTAATATTAGTAAGATTCCTTTCTATAGTACAAACAATAGGTACTAATTGAATATACCGGAACCTTGATCTTACAAATGCTATTTATCAAAATGATAGAACGCGATGATTGCAAAATGACGACGTGCGCATGTAACAATTAGCAGTACAAATTAAAATTAAGGACATATTCATTGGTGTGATATCTTTTGTAGAATCTTTTCAGCGCATTCATATGTTGAAACGTACAAGTTTATATATTAATATTTTATAATGCTAGTATTAATTACTTTTGAAGTGTAAACTTCTTTGGCCCCGTTGTGATTTGAAACACGATGAAACGAAAACGCGATATTTATTTTGGCAAACTCCGTGCATACATATACATATAATAGTACTTTAGTCTCGAGTAAACCGTAGACATAACAATAATTCAACAATTCCACTATAGGTATACACATAGTAACAAAGGTACGTATGCTAAGTAAAGCATCCGCCGCATTTGGCAGATTGCAGTGTGGGCGTGGGTACAATCTAGACCTGCGGATGTCCCTAATGCCATCATTTAGACTTAGATCTAGGCCTAGACTGACGCGAGGGATATGGTGACTAATTGAAACGTCTGAAAGTTTTATAGGTTAGCTTACATGCTAATACTGGGTTATTCACGATTAATCCCATAATCGAAAGTTTGCACGAGCCATTCTGTCGACTAATGAAATGTTTGTCTATACGTACAATGTAGGTACATCTATACTAATATTATATATAAAGAGACAGAGTTTGTTTGATTGCGCTAATCTCAGGAACTATTAATTCGATTTGAAAAATTCTTTTTCCATTAGATAGCCCGTTTATTGAGGAAGGCTATAGGCTATATATCATCATGCTACTACCCAAGGGAGCGGAGCAGTAATCACAAATGCCAACAAATCGGACAGACTTCCATACATTATTGTAAAACTGATGTTTATATCGGAAGATTGAACGCGGGCGAAGCCGCGGGCACTGATATACTATATATGCACATGTTATATCTAGAATACTATACTAACTATATTGAAACAATATTTTGACTACACCATATATTTCTTACTAAAAACGTTGTTATTTCCAACGAAAGAATTGAAAAATGTTTATAAATGATGTACCTATATCGAGATTAGAGGCAATTTATTCGGCGCGACGAGACGGGTCGTTGTTTGTCATGAATAAAACAGGTACCTATAGTATAATGGAATTAAACGAAAGCTATTATTTTAGGTAATATCGGTAATTATTTAATAAAGCTAAATTAGTTTGTATGTTTTGTTCTGGCCTTCAATAAAATGTATAGGCCCATCAAAATTCGATAGCAATTCATTAGCATTAGTGCACTTTCGTTGATATTGATATACATTCACAAAATTGGTACCTAATTTAAACAAGATTAAATGGCTGGGGTGGTATTAAGGGTTGCGGTGCGCGTGGCACTTGGGGTTGGACCGAAACAGGCTTCGAGTGAAACGTTTAGTGCAACAATGACGAGCCGTTTAACGTCGCAGCGTGTACTTTTTGAATTTCAACCTATTAAGTTTACAGCTGTTGAGAAGTACTATATACTGAGAGTTTTCATATCTCAAGTGAGTTTATACAAGATTCATTTAGCTTTCGTGGAAATAGTGACCATATTTTACAGATTTATCTCGATAATGTTAACTTTAACATCGATATGAGTTATATTTATATGAGCTTTACACAACAGTTATAAATCTTATTAAAAGCTGAAGGGATACGTAATGTTCTTAAAATATACGTTTACGCAAACTTTTATAAACATTTGTAAAGCTCCAGAACATTATGAATGTGTACAATAGGAAACGTGAAGAAATTTAATTTAATTAAAACTTCTAAGCATTCTTTAAAGGAAAAACTTAAACAGGTATGGCTTCATAAGGCTAATAATATACCTAATTATTATAAAAAAATGTTTTATATTCCTTGAAAGAGACGGACGTAAGGACGTAAATACCTATATATGTATAACAAGAAAATGAAAATTAACTGTTCAACGTACGTAACTTAAAAAAAATATATCTATTTAATATTAAAATAACTAAGACCAAATAGAAGAAACCTAAACGTATCAGGATCGATAACGAAACAAACGTGTGAAGGGTGGATGAACTTCAAAAAAATTGCGCCCTCGAGTGTAACCGCACCCGAATTCCGATATTCGGGGTAGAGCAGATGATTCATATATTCGTGATCTCATTCGATTCGGCAAGAATTCACAGCTGGTCGGATTTTTTGTAATATTACAGATGAATGCGATACGTAATAGAGAATATAGCTATCATAAAGGGATTTTTAGATCAATGATAGATTTTTTTTTTTAAATATTTGTTAATGTTTTGCTGAACATTTGGTCCATTTGAGACGGTAAGCATAACAGACAAAAAAACCAGCCAAGTGCGAGTCGGAGTCGCGCACGAAGGGTTCCGTACCATTATCTATAAAAACGGCAAAAAAATCATATCTGTTGTATGGGAGCCCCACTTAAATATTTTTATTTTAATTTAATTATTTATTTTTAAAGTGAATATATAACTAAATATTCTGTGAATATTTCAAGCCTCTACCTATTGCCGTTATCAATATCGAGCAAAAAAGAGCAAAAAAAAACACGTGTGTTGTACATAGGAGCCCCGTTAAATATTTATTTTATTCTGTAATTTAATATTGTTGTTATAGCGGCAACAGAAATACATCTTCTGTGAAAATTTCAACTGTCTTACTATCACAGTTCATGAGATACAGCCTGGTGACAGATAGACAGACGGACGGACAGCGGTGTCTTAGTAAAAGGGTCCGTTTTACCCTTTGGGTACGGAACCCTAATAGGATGAAAAATTAAATAATGCGACCATATTATTCTGGTTCGATTGATTAGTTGACTGAGATATCAACATTCACATCTGACAAATACAAACTAGCTGTTTCACAGAGACTAGAGAGACTTTAAAAAACTGATTGCTCTTTTTCTGTAATTTGTTTTTGAGAAGAATTCAATAAGTCTTAAACAGTAAAAAACCATCTTTAACATATTATGCAATAGTTTGTATGATATTTCTATAAACACTTACAATATTTATGTTAATTTCAATAATCTAAAAAAAAAACTGACGAATTGAGAACCTCCTCCATTTTGGAAGTCGGTTAAAAATACAGCGAAACTAAAAGTCGCGTGCAATCTTTAGTTCAATATTGTTATTACAAACGCCATTTTTTACTTCACATTCCCACTTCCATGATAATAATTTAATAACGTATAGTACGTTCAATGATCGAGCACATGTAACTCAAATATCACGATACGACACACAATAATAAATTTAGATACAAACGAAATAAAGGGCATAATCTTTTGGATAGCTTTTTAAAACTGTTGAATTAGAAGTGACAATATTCTAACGGTTACGTGCTGTTAAGCTAATAAAAACCGACAAATGGCTATTTAAAATATCATTAGGACCAAAGGAAATATTTTTTGTTATGTTATGGCTAACATTATTTAGTATTTTTAGAATTGAAAAATCTATAATAGTTTTTCAATTTGTGAAAAATTATTTGAGGAAAGAACGTACGGTGTGCTGATACCTTTTAAATTCATTCTGTTGTTATTCATTGAATATAACATATATTCCTCATGGTCTCATTTATATTTAATGAGAAAAAAAACAAACCTTCCTTACAAAGTACATTTTTGTTTTCTTACACAATTTAAGTACAGCTATGTAAATTAAAATAACTTAACAAACAATATGAATATAACTAAATGACCGTTTTTCAACAACTTACACAAAAAAAACTTACTGCCTTTTTTAATGCGAACCTCTCGTTATTAAATAGATAATACTATTGATGCCTATTTAAAATGGTTTTCATCTCTATTTAAATACGCCTATTTTACTTTACTGCATATTGGCAAGTGGCACATCGCACACAGTTGAGATAACCAAACAGTGACAAGAAAAATATATTGAAATAAACATTCACTATGTGCAGGAATCGAACCCAAGGACCGAAGAAAGGGCTTGCAACACCCAGAGCACGAAAATATCATAAGAAGTCTAATATTTTATATATATATACATTTTATATTATACATTTCTAACAATAAATCCGTAAATTTTTACGTAATCTTTCGACTTATAAAATTAGCTAATCGTTTGAAGTCGGTATAACTGCAGGGTTACACATAGTGGTTAAATGTCGTCATTGGTTTAATATATATCGCAAACAACAATAATACGATTCAATGAAGCTGTGTGACTCACAATCCGGACCAAGGGTACGTAATTTTATTCTTGATTCAGTAAATGTAAAAATAGCTTTACACAGCATCTTTTTACTAAACCTTTTGCTTACTCAATAACATTGTGAAAATTTGACGATTTCATTTTAAACTATTATTAATTTCCCGATTTTTATTGTTTGGATTATGTGCAGCCGTTATTTAATTATTAACTAAGACGACTATTGTAGATTCGATTTCCGCACATGTCTCTATTTATACATATAGAAGTTTAACTTTTACCTGGAAGAAGTTTGAATATTATGTCTGTATGTATGTATGTCTTTATTGTTTAATCCATTCTCATTCATTCATTCGCATTCGACCTTAACGAAGCCAAATCATCATTCACTGTGCTAGGATCAAACCCACAACCTGTGACGTAGTAACCAGTGCCAAACAGATACATAATTAATTATAAACATTATGCTTAAACAATATATAAAAAAATAAATAAAAAAATACTTACATTGCACATTAATATACACGTCCTTGTACACATATCCATTAGAATTGGTCGCGTTACAGCCATAATTTCCTGTATCCTTCTTTACCAGCTCGGTGATGACAATGGAGTTAGGCGAAACTTGGCGTCGTGGGTTAAACTCCGCTTGGTCTATAGGCTTGCCGTTGTGTACCCACGATATCTGCGGCTCGGGAGTACCACCCGCCTTGCATACTATGACAGCCGTTTCACCTTCCGCTAGGTTCTGGTACTGAGGCTCCTCGATGAAGAATGGTGCAGCTGGAAAAGAATTCAAAGAATTAGCAATATTCCTGGTTTTGCTAAGAGTAATCTTTTTTAAATAATCGTATTCTAATGCGAAGATTTACAAACGAGGGTTCCGTATTATAAAATATGTATATCTATCGATATTTTATCGTATTACCCCAAATTACATATTTTCGTCGTTTTTGCAAACATACACATAACAGTATCGAGACTGAAAAGAAACGATATTTGTAATCCCCAGCCTCGAGGGTGGTTTCTATCGGCGTAACGAATGGCTCTATAAATATAAAACTGAGGGGGGAAAATCACATAAACATGACGATATTTTTTTTTATAATCATTTTTTAAAAACTTTTCTACTTTCCACGCAATTTCGCTTTGTACATACACGCTTTCGACTTAAATGAGGAATAGGGCCATTGTGGCATACTCCTCTCGTATACAGTGCTCGCGTGCGAAGCGTGCATGCGATACCCTCAAACAATACCAGTGACACCTTAATGTTGAAAAGATTTTCTCGTTAATTATTTTTCCCCTTTTTTAAGCAACTTTTGAGTGAGTAAACATCATAAATCTGGTTTTCCTGCACGTGAGGGTTCTTCTTAAAACGCGATGTCAAAAATCACCCTCCAATTACTTGTATTCAGCACTTTTTAACATCCCACTGCTGGGTACGGGCCTCCCTTCAATACGAGGGTGATCAGGCCATGTCCACCACGCTGGCCAAGTGCGGGTTGGCGGACTTCACATGTCTTTCGATAACTTGTTAGGTTATCTTAGACATGTAGGTTTCCTCGCGATGTTTTCCTTCACCGTAAGGCAAGTGATAATCATGTTAGAAATGATTCGCACATGAAAATATCAGAGGTGCGAGACCCGGGATTTGAACACGCTTCACTCGGTTTCCCAAGCGAGCGCGTTACCACTGGGGTACCACTGCCTTAACACTAATCTAAATCCTTTTTTAAAAACATTATTTTGGACTATAACAACGATAATAATAAAAACAATAGAATATATTCGAGTCAGTATGCGAAATAACAAACAAATTAAAGCTAAATAGGAAATAACACAATTCGGGATGTCGTAAATTCCGAATCAAGTATCTTCATTCGGGCAGTGCTAACTCAAATTAATAACTAAGGACTCAAACTCTAATTCGTTTTATACTTTTTATGTTATTATAACCTTACCTTAACCAATATAGTACTTCACCTTATAACTCTTGTCATCTTATCTATACTAATATTATAAAGAGGCAGAGTTTGTTTGTTTGTTTGTTTGTTTGTTTGTTTGTTTGTTTGTTTGTTTGTTAGTTTGAACACATAATCTCAGGAACTACTAATCCGATTTGAAAAATTCTTTTGTGCATTAAATAGCCCGTTTATTGAGGAAGGCTATAGGTTATATATCATCATGCTACTATCCAAGAGAGCGATGTAATCATAACTGTTAAGAAATCGGGCAGACTTCAATATATTATTGTAAAACTCATGTTTATAATATACTCGTACTCAAGCGCTTTAAGCTCAGAAACTACTGAGCCCATTTCAAAAATGCCTTTTGCATAACGCCAAACAGTTTATTTTGTTTTAGCGCGAGCGAAGCCGCGGGTTCTGCTAGTCTAACATGACGAAGTAAAATTTACTCCTACTATTAAAACTTTAAATCACGACAAAAAAAAACAAATTCCACAGTAAAAATACTTGATACTTTCTTAGATTAACGCGAATATTTAACATTTAAAAAAAACTATCTTTTCGAGTCTCTCCCGCGACCACGATTGCAGTGAAGCATTCGAAACGCCAGGAACCAAAAACTCAAAATAGATCCGTAAAAAATAAGTTTTATTTAAAAAAAAATACTTGAGTCAAAACGAAACACACGCTCAAATTACTTATACTTATCTCGTACTCAATGTTTGTAATGTTTATTTATCCCACTCATACACAACACTCTGTAATCCGTTAATCGCGTGCACGTTGCAGAGTTATTCGCGTGACACACTTACAGCGGCGTGGTGACGCGTAACTGCATACACTGACAATTGGTATAATACTATTATGAGATCACTCGGACCACGATCGGACATTGTCTTCCGATATTTATACGGAATTCTAATTACAAGCCATTGAAGAGTTCGCTACCAAGTTATCAGATGAATGAAAGCGGCAAAGCCTAGTTGTATAACAAAGGCGTTCTATTAACGCCGGGACAGAAGTTCAACATGCAAATTTTTCAGACGCACATTGCATATCGATCGAGAACTTTTTCCTGGATCTCGCGTATATCTATACACAATGCAACTGAATAAATTACCATGTATCATAATATTTTGCTACTACATCTATACATAAAATAAAATTGTAACTAAGCAGAATCTGTACATTAAATATTTTTTGGAAAATCTTATTGAAATAGACATTATTATCGATACTGAGACCGAATCTACAGTTTTTAGAGTGTTTGTGTCTGTCTGTCTGTTACCGCATCACAGAAAAACCACTGGAGGGATTTTGATGAAATTTGGTATGGTGATAGCTGGTTATCCGGATCAACATTAGGATACTTTTTACCGGGGGAAAATGTCTCATTTTTGAGAAAAAATACAAAAATGCGATGTAAGAGTATACTAATATGTAAAACCTAAGAATTTGGGTTTTGGTCATCTGAACGCGGGCGGAGCCGCGGAAAATGCTAGTATTGCTAATAAAATTCGCATGGTATCTAAACTACAATTTTGCTCAGGTAACAATAGGGACGACGGACTTATTAAATCATAAAACACGTCCGGAATGCCATAATTTGATGGTACAAAAATGCGGTGCGGTCCTTTGTCCGAAATATTCCGCCCTTATAAGGTCATCTATGTTCTCAATTGGATGTATTAGAGTCGCACATCCGGACCATATTACAAGTAAATTAATGGAGGCGTACATGAAATGGAATATTGTAGATATCATGACATTGTAGATATCATGAGGTTTATAGATATCACGAAGGACAATATTTTATAGCCTTAGTATATAACTGGTCTCAAACGAGACATCACGATAATTTATGGCTTGAAAATTATATACAAATAGATAAGCTCGTATTTAAGCACGTCTTCTTGGAAATACATTAAGTTACAACGCTTATAGAACATCTAACGTACGTGCATTGTGCATCTTATATGTAGATGCATACAAGGATTTATATATCTATATGAGTGGGTCTTTTTACGCGGATCCACTCGTGTCATGGCTTTATACGATACTCTTACCCTAATACTCTATCTGTTATTTACTAAAATCCCGCTATGACATTTACAGTAAAATAGCAATATACGTATGAGGCAGCTATTTTGAAAACACACTACTATAGATACTTTATTTTCATTAATAAATATAATTACAGATCTCAATTTATTCATGTAGTTTCCATTTGCTCATTTGCGAGTGTCGAATCGCCAAAAATCGACAATGTAGTCAGTGCCTACCTGCCTAACAAATAACTATGAATAAGTCGCAAAATTCATACAAATTAAAACTTCTAAAAAACTATACCTATTGCCTCGATTATATATTACACATATGTATAGATAGAATTGACATTTTCAATAATTCTATATTAATAAGAACAACTTTCGGTAACTTGGTCGTTTGGACAAATTATTGAGACGACTAAAAGTCACAAAGCACACCAAACGAAATAGCATCAGTCTGCCCTTTCATTTGTAAGGTAGCGTGGGCGTAATCAGACTATATTATGATCCTATAAATAGGCGAGTTGGTATAACGACGCTCGAGTATCACGCCCGAGTCGTCAGCTGGTAACATGAAAGCTTTACGCGAATTAAATAACCCCGTAGCGATATATGTACATACATATATACATACATACATGAGGACGGAAATTTTAAAAGGGCACTTGTTTAGGGTTGCTTGGACACGAGATTTTTCTTGCACAGAGATTATTTTCAGCGGTGCAACTCAAGATTATCCATGACCGATTTTGTATGCCGTCTGCTTGGCGCGGGTCGTTTAATTTGCGTTAGGCTATTTAAAGTTGATTACTCTACAGTGTGCAGTATGATTAATGATTTTATGTATAACCTTTAAACCAAACTTTGATAAAGTTAAATGTAAGTGGGCACGTACTACTAACTACTAGGAGTTCTATTATCCAGAAATGGATGAATATTTTTGATATCAGCTCGAAGTTATCAAAGTAATCCATTGTCGTATAAGTTGAAGACTTAACTTTCATGACCACTGACAATATTATTATGATGTAAACGGGGTATACCCGTAACTATGGCGCTTGTAACAGTAACCTAAATATCGGGAATTACCAAAAGTAAGTGCTAAACATGGTGAATATCCCGTTTTACATCACAATAATTTATTCTATTGTCATCCTAATTCCATATATTTACAAAGTTTCAAACAAGTGCGAAAATTAGGAGCAAGTCTAATGCATCTTCCAAGATTCGATTATAAAATTAGTTGAAGCTTATAACAGTAAGGAAAAAAAAACAAATAAGATATTTCTAAAGCCTATTGTAGACAAAAAAATTTTAATCATTTTATTCAGACAAATTTACAACATCTTTCAATATAACCAGTGAATTTTACTGCAATAAATTAAACGATAGAATTTCAAATTGTTTATCCCAAGTTTATATTTCACTTGGGATACATTATACAAAGTTTTACCAAAGTTTGGAAATATCGAGTCTCATCGAGAATTCTGATAAGTTTATACGCGTACTTGAGAATTCCTCCATTATTCACTACACATAACAATGTAAATTGTTATCCAACTTGCTCTCAACTGCGAAATGAAGTACGTCTGAGTGTCTTAAGTCTAGTCCTAAAACCTTCCTAAGTTCCTCCTTTGTAAGTATCGCAACTGAATGTTAAACTGTAATGAACATATAACACTATCGACTTACCATCGCTTCGTTCAGGTAGCGTCCCAAACCCCCCCAACGTGCGTTCGCCTTGTCGTGGTGGGGGGGCTCAGTAGTGCCCGGCAACCCAACCGGGCGCGAAGCCAAGAAACGCACAGGGAGGTGGCCCACTTCGGTGGGCGGTGGGAGGTGGCCCTCTTCGGAGGGCGGTGTACCATGCGGGTTGCTCCTGGTACTTCTCTGATAGCAGAGTGGACTGTGGAGCAACCCCGTGGTTGTTGTGGTCTGCTTCGGCAGACCTGCCGTCGGGGCGTCGTAGTTGAATGCGTAAGCGATCCTGCGACGCCCCATTAAGACGGGGGAAGGCTTTGTTGGGTTTTAGTGGGTAGTACTGGCTTCGCCGGTGAGTCCCACACCTCGTGCGTAAATGCATTTCCCAACATTAAAAAAAAAAAAAAAAAAGGTAGCGTCCCAAAGCTTGAACGGTTCAGAAACACATGAGGACAAACATACGAACATTTATCTTTATTTATATAGAAGAAGATTCTAAATTTGTTATCATTCATTTGAACAAAATATCAATTCGATGAGTACGAGTATTATGTATATAATTATTAATGATAGTATAATTAGGGGACCAAAAAGTAAGAAACAGTACGTTTAATTATTATTAGATGACAAAGATATCTAAACTCTTCGAGTTGGTAGTTAGATGACTTAGCGCGTAAAACGCAGTTAAAAGCTAGTATGTATAGAAAGAAAAAGCTTTTCAATCGCTCATTGTTCACGGATGGTAAACTTTTCTGAAGCAACTTTCGCTATTAGCTACGGCTTAAACGAATACGCTTTTTTGGTAAAAATTAAATATTAATTGAAAAAGAATGTGCTGCGTATTAAATAAAAATCTCGTCTTATTTAAAATTTCCCTAACACCATCATTGGGACAAAATAAGTAGTAGTAGTTTTTTTTAATAACTATAAACACTTACATATTGTACTGTATTGAAGGCAGTGGTAGCCCAGTGGTAACGCGCTCGCTTGGGAAACCGAATGAAGTGAGTTTAAATCCCGGGTCTCGCACCTCTGATATTTTCAAGTGCGAATCATTTCCAACATGATTACCACTTGTCTTAACGGTGAAGGAAAACATCGTGAGGAAACCTGCATGTCTGAGAGAACCTAGCAAGTTTTCAAAAGACATGTGAAGTCCGCCAACCCGCACTCGGCCAGCGTGGTGGACTATGGCCTGATCCCCCTCGTATTGAAGGGAGGCCCGTGCCCAGCAGTGGGACGTTAAAAAGGGCTGAATACATACTATTACATAAAATCGATATTTCTGTCTGTTCGCGTTTATAACTGTTGGATAATATAATAAGGTATTACTTCCAGAAGAATTGTGTAAAATACACTAGCGATTTACATTGCAAAATGACCCTCTGAATTCTGAAGATACATTTTAAATTATTAAAAGAAAAACCAGAATAAATAAAGAGAAGATAAATAATGATAAAGTATTATCACCCAACGCTCATCATCAAAATATGTATCAATAGGTACTTTTAATGAAGCTAAAAGACCAAGAGAAAATTTTATTATATTACGTTTTAAAAGTTTTTTTTTATAGGTAATATAGAAACTAAATGGCTTTTGGCCCAAGGAGTCAAAGTGCTAAAACACTTCTTAAAAGAAATAACACCCCGCTTATCGCTTCTAATAGTGACAGGACAGCTGGCTTATTTTCGTCTATAGAATCGGCATTGCCATTCAGTGGGGGAATGCGGCTAACATTCTTCCACTCTACTCCACTATTCCCCGTAGACATGACTTGACAGTAATAATTAAGTGTACAATTGTTTTGTATATGTAATTATGTATATTTATAATTTCCTTTATTGTAAATTAACACCTCCAGGTAAATTTCCAACAAATTAATTAAATTTCTAAGAAATCTATTGTTAACTGTAACGCCGGCGTGTCCGCGGTCGTGGAAGCATTAAACAGTTACAAACTAAACAGCATATAAGGTACAAAAACGAGCTATAAACAAAAAAAATAGACAAAACAGAGTGGACTCACCTTCAACATTCAACTGTATAGAATACGATTCAGCAGTGCCCACACCATTACTGACTTCACAAGTGTAAGTTCCTTGGTCCTCGTACCCAGTGCGCTTTATCACCAACGTCTTCCCATAGTTGTCTTGCGTGACCCGCTGCGAGGATATTATCGGCGATCCGTCCTTCAACCACACCACTTGAGGCAACGGCCTGATGGAATAATAGAAAACTATTTAGAAAAGTACCGTAATTGCTTTATACATATATTTAAATTTTCATTAAAATCTATGTATCTATATAAATAAAATCGCAATGCTGTTCGTTGGTAAGCTCATCACTGGACCGTCTTGTTCGTAGTAGCCCCAAGTTTTTTTCATGAAAAAGGAAGACCCAAAAACTTTAAAATTTTAACAGAACTAAAAGAATCATTTTAAAGGAGTTTTGTAAGAACTCAAAAATAATAAATTTTATTTATGGCATAGGAATATGCAATCCCTATCGGTGAAATATTTATTATTCATTTTTAAACACTTAAAAATGTTATTTTGTTCTACTCTAACCATGCATTGTGTATTTTCATCACAAAAGGATTCTAACATATATAATACACACTTATATAAGAACTCTTATAAATTGTTATACCGAGAAAAAATATGTCAAGCAGCTCCTTAAAATACATAATACATTTTATCATCCCACTAACATAGTTTACTAATCAAAAAGATGAAAATGACTGAAAACCTTTATATTTACTCTAATTAGGATTCCTGTGCAGGCTGAAAACCTATCAAACAATACAACAGCCAATAACGCGTATCCTATATATTGTATTATTTGACAATACAAAAGCATTAATCCTAGCTACGATATTAATTTACTACTGTTGAGTTTCTCGCCGGTTCTTCTCATCGGTACTGCCTTTCCGTTGCCTGACGTTTAATTTAAATTTAAAATGTAAAATTGACGATTCAAGAGTGCTTGTAAAAGTATGTTTGAATAAAGTATATTTTGATTTGATTTGATATAATCTGAAATTACAATGACGTAATGAGATAGGTACGTTACCCTCACGTACCTTTGTTAATATGGCAAACTCTAAGTTCAACAACCTACATTTTATTATAAATAGCACCCTACTACGATCTCGCGTATAGTTTATTGCAGCGTCATCGAAATGAAGTCAATATGTTATAGTGCCTATAATTTTTATCATTGAAAAACACAATTTTCTAGAACATTTAAAATAAATAATGAAAAACCAGACGCGATAGTAGAAACAACAATAGGACGTGGTCCAGATTGTGTTATCCAAGGTTCTCAGGCCACAGGAATAAATGATTGATTGCATTAAAAATAATAATACAGTCAGTTATAAATGACGCATTCTGCTAGCGCCAGTACTTAGTTGATTCATTGAATTCCGTACTAATAAGATCTGCATTGCAAATATTCAGGACAAGTACTCTAAAAGGCGACCTATTTGGCAAACGCGTCTCTATAATAAAGCCAAGTGAATCGCTGAAAAATGCATTATAATGTCATTACCCTGATTTCCCAAAGTAGTTCAAGTATTATGTTACAACGTCCGAATAAGATTCATGTGTCCTTTGTGAAAGATTTGTTGAATTTTAAATACATCTTTACTTGAAGTTAGCTATCAGATAGTCTAATTTGCTTCAGTTTTTTTTTTATTTAAGCAATTTATCTATAGCAAAGGAAATACACGTCTTGTATACATAACTACGCCATAATTTAACAACATGCGGGTATCAATCTTCATCAAATAAAAGAAATTTATTGAATTATAAGATAGATACTTACGTCCCGCCATAAATACAGTACAGCTCCACTTTCTTGCCTCTCCATGCTTTCTCAACCCTCCTCGACGTATATTGTTTCGTTGGCGCGTGCTTATTTAAAGCGGCAGAAGATCCGGTCTGTTGTACCATCAAATACACTTTATTGCCTAGTTTATATTCGTTTCGGAATACCGATTTGGCTGCACAAGTGTACGCGTAGTCGACACTTGCGTCGAATCGAGTTACGTTCGAGAACCAGAGGTTGCCCTCAGGGTCCAATGTCATGCGGGAATTGTTTATCGTCTTGAGTTGTCCCTGTTCGCCTTGTAACATCCAGTACACGTTAGGGCTCGGGTGGCCGTCGGGCGGGGAGCAGGTGAGTTTGAAAGGTTCTCCCTCCTGCGCCGTAATCGCTACTTGGGAGCCATCGGTCTCTTTGAAGGAGTTCAACTCCGCTTTTCGTACAAAGACCGAATTCGAGGTGGCTGTTCCCCATTCGTTGTATGCGAAACATTGGTACTGGCCGAGATCCTCGTCGCGCGGCTTGCTAACCACTAGAGTACCGCGACCTGGTTGCTGTGAGATTCGATTATCGTAGCTCGTGTATTCGAAGGGCTTGCCGTTCTTGATCCACCTGTACCTGTGGAACAAAAATAACCGGTTACATATGATGTAATGGGACAGTCAATTTACTATGATTGGCCGTGAGGTTGCGCGCTCGAAACAAACCTGATTCCCATTTCATTATAGCATAGCTGTTGTTCAAATAGTTTCATGCAATTGATAACAAACCTTGTTTTTTTTTTTATAAAGCATTGTTCAACAGACCACGATAGTAAATATTTAGGTTAAATAAATACAATTATACTAAAAAACAATAAAAAGTAATAATACTAAAAAACAGTACAAATAGAAAAATTATCACTAGCAGATCTAATATTTTTTATAAATTAACTCTTAGTATTAGGTACCTATGTGTAACTTTTTTTCTAGGTCTGTAATGTCGTTAGCTTAGAACAAAGGATCATTACAATGAGATGTTTTGAATCATCACAAATCACAATATTTGGCATTTCAATAGATTTAAAATCATTTAATTACTCTTTATTGATTTAATATTCATAGTATATGCTAATTAAAACAACAACAACTGCTTAGAAATATATTTCTTAAAATATGATTTAATCAGTGGTGACCCCATAGTGGCGTACGACTTTGATATGAGTAAATAAAACATAATGAACGGTGACATAATATTTCCGATGTCTACCTCTCGAGATGGCTGCGCTGAGTCAAGAGGACTGATTCATGAATAATTTATTAGGGCTCGTAGCGCACGGTACGAACTCATCGTGCCGCATATGGACGCTTTGTCTTATGGCAAAAAGTTCAAAAGTTTTAACGTTCAAACTGAGTAACGGCTTTTTCAAAGGCAGAAACGAGTTTTCATTAGAAAAATATCTAATTCTTATTCATAGCTGAATCATTATGATGAGTATTGCACCTCAATGTTTCTTACATTTTCTATTAAATAAAATATAATAATAATTAATATCCCATTTTAAGTAAAATATTAAATGTACAGTAAATAGATTATTTATTGTTCCCCATTCGTTCGTCATAGAGAGGCAGTAGTAGCCCAGTGGTGACGCGCTCGCTTGGGTAACCGAACGAAACGGGTTCAAATCCCGGGCCCTCGCATCTTTGATATTTTCATGTGGAAATCATTTTTTCTACATGATTACCACTTGTCTTACGGTGAAGGAAAACATCGTGAGGAAATCTGCATGTCTGAGAGAACCTAGCAAGTTTTCGAAAGACCAGTTGGCCCTGGTGGCTCGTACTGAAGGGAGGCCCGTGCCCAGCAGTGGGACGTCAAAAAGGGCTGAATACAAATAGATAATTACTGTTTTAAATAAAACTATCTTTTCGGATTATTTCGCGGATTTATTTTGATTTTTGGTTCCCGACGTTTCGAATGCTTTACAGCATCCATGGTCACGGGAGAGACTGAGGTGTTACATGTCTTGAAGGTATAATTGTTACAGACAGCCTACCCACAATTAACAAAATGAAAATTGCACCAATTACCTTACAATATTTTTTAACTTTAAACATTTTTATAATTTTAATTAGTTTTATAATTGAATATGGAATATTATTTATTTAATTTTTGCTGTAATTCTTATAATTATTACAATTTTAAAAATATTAATTAGTAATCTATATTTAGTGTTGCCATTATTATGTTTATAACCATAAAGAAAAAATAGAAAATATAATATTAATTATTTACGCCACATAATTGTTCTATGTGTAATTTAAAAAGTTAAAATTAATTAAGGATAATAATTTTAATTTAGTTTACAAATTTAAAAATATTAATTAGTAATTTAGTGTTGCCATTATTATATTTATAGCCATAAAGAAAAAATAGAAAATATAATATTAATTATTTACGCCACATAATTGTTCTATGTGTAATTTAAAAAGTTAAAATTAATTAAGGATAATAATTTTAATCTAGTTTACAAATTTAAAAATATTAATTAGTAATTTAGTGTTGCCATTATTATATTTATAGCCATAAAGAAAAAATTGAAAATATAATATTAATTATTTACGCCACATAATTGTTCTATGTGTAATTTAAAAAAGTTAAAATTAATTAAGAATAATAATTTTAATTTAGTTTGCTATTATTTAAAAAGACAATTTACTAAGCAACACTATTACTATATACTTTTACAAATGAAAAATGAATAATATTAATCTGACATGCTATCATTTTGATCCACACAGTAAGAGCTTACTACATCTACCTGGCTGTTATGTTTAGATTTATTATTTGATTTTATTATATTAATCCCATCCCATGACGTATCCCATGACGATGGTAGTACCCAGCCATCTTCCCTATTGAAATTTGGATGTTTTTTAATTTAAAGCATTCGAAACGTCGGGAAACAAAAATCAAAATAAATCATCATTTTCTATATAAAATAGCTCGAATAATATCTGTATAAATCTATATATAGTTAATATATATATATATATATATATATATATACATAGGTATGTATATACATATGTATATGGGAATTACAATCAAACAAGTGTTTGTCTAGGGACTATAGCAATATATGGATACAGTGTTGCAATTTTATCCTCCCTTCGAATTGGGATTGTCTTCCACTCAACTGAACTCGTTACGAAAAAGTATGTGCAAATAGTCCTTCTGTGAGGGGAGCTAACTATCACGAAGAACTCTCGAGCGAAGGAGGCTTTTCATCTTTGGGCGCGGTATAACGATTCTTCGGTGAATCTTCCAAATCATGAATTTCTAAGTTAGAAGGGGAAGTTTGGAGTTTGTTTTGTACTATAAACTATGGACACGTGTCATTTTTAGATGAAAATGTCCCCTGTTTTAATTAAAATATTTATGCAATATCAACAATAAACTGTTTTGTTGATACACTCATATACGTTCATACTTATAATATATATGTATACTAGCAGAACCGGCGGCTTCGCTCGCGCTAAAACTACAAAATATATCTAAAAAGGTGGTTTCATACAAATTTTCATGCCCTATGTTACTCCCTTATAGAATGATTTTCGAAAAATGCTAAAACACGTATTTATTTAATTTTATTGAAGAGCATTATTACCAAATTTCAAGTAATTCTGATCATAAATATTTTTTTGGATTGTATTTTTACGTGTTTTCCCTTGAGAATTAGATAATCTCTCGCAGTAAAAAGTACCCTATGCCACTTTCCAGCCCTCCAACTATCTCCACGCAAAAAATCACGCCAATCCGTCTCTCCGTTTCGACGTGAAAGAAGGACAAACAAAAACAAACACACATTCACATTTATAATATTAGTATAGAGTTTGGAATATGGATGTACATATTACCCTCACTATATACATATTCTTTGGAAAATATCGCTAAGATAATCTCTATTATTATTAGGTAGGAATATTTCAATTGAAACACAAAACGAAACATTACCACATTTAAATGACCGGCAAGAACGTTCCCAACAAAACAACGCCGCAAGCAAAATAATATGTTTAAGATTGTCATCTCATCAGTCGCTGGAAACGGCAAGGCAAAGGATAATATAAACGAATGAAAACGTGTTTAATATAAACTCATCATCAATCAACTGCCTCGGTATATAAATCTTTGCCAAATATTTAATTATAATTATTTAATTAAATATATAGTAGAAGAATTTCTCCCAATAATATTATATTAATATTATAAATGCGAAAGTTTGGATGGATGGATGTTTGTTTGTTACTCAATCACGCCAGAACGGTTCAACGGATCTGGATGAAAGACACAGAGATAGATGTTTATAGTCTGAAATAGCACATAGGTATAGGTTACTTTTTATCATGGAAAAATACTATTCCCGTGGGTTAGATTTGTTTTTGTTTTTCACAGAGCAATGGATCGACTATCTATTCCATACTAACCGTTAAAACGTACTCCGGGACGAACACGAGCGAAACGAAAGCGAGTCGCTAGTAGTGATTCATAATAATGAATAATAAAGAAATTTCTATGTTATTTGAATTTAGTGTAAAATATATGGGAAATAGACCAAAATTCTATTAAAGGTGCGCTGGTGCCCCACATTGTCAGAGAACTTGTTGACATATATGTTAAAAGGGTCTTAACACACATACATATATTGTTTTCATTATTCAAATATAATTGCTACTAAACAAAATTAATTCTCTGTATTATATAATAAATAGCTTTGTCACACGCGAAGTAAATATGCAAAACCTGTATTAAATAAAACTATCTTTTCGGATTTTTTTGCGGATTCATTTTGATTTTTTTTTTCGACGTTTAGAATGCTTTACAGCAATCAATATCTCCCGTGCTAATTATTGCTGTAAAACATTCGAAAAATCTAAATAAATCCGCGAAAAATTCCCAAAAGACACTTTTCATTAAAGTGTCAAATATTCGCGTAAATCTAAGAAAGTATTAAACAAAAACTGATTTATGCGAATATTTTCATTTCTAATACTCAGATACATAACATTCTAACGTACACACTACACACGCCCAGCCATTTGGTACTCGTATACTGTAAAATTAGCAAAGCTAGTCACACTCGGTACACGCGGTGCGATGTTTAATTAACTAATGTATGAATTCACGCGTCCCACTAACCTAGAAGGAAAAGTATATGGTACAACCTGTGCCGTTATACTCGCCATTTTAAATATGAACGTATTTGGTAAAATAGTATAATTTAGGTCTTAAAATGATGCACATAGGCTCTTTCTCGCCTACATGTATAGAAATATTAATTATCATGTTAAAACGAGACATTTATAATAGCCGAAAAGACGATACGAGAATTCGGTTTATGGAGAACTCTAAATCTTAGGTGGTGAAATAGTAATTGATAATAAATAGAAGAAGCTTCTAAACCCTACCAATATTTTGGTACACCTAACGAATTTTACATTCATTCATGAATTTTAATAATAGTTTATTATTACATGTACTTATCTCTAAACTGTCGGAAACTGAAAATGAAAACGAATATTGCAAAGAACAAATAGTAACTAATAGCCCTCGTGGAAAAATCAGTAGCGTGGGTA